TGCATGCCCATCCACCTTCGCAGCGCTCGTACATCCGGCTAGAGCCGCGAAGATATCTCCACGTTTACACGAGCCTTTTTGGTCTCGTTGAGCTCATTGGCAAAGATATTCAGCATCAGCTCGCTGTCACTGTCGGTATTGATGTGACGGTGGGCTTCATAGTCCAGGTATCGCTTGAGCTCTGGAGCATTGATCAGGTGCCGTTATGCGCAAGGGTTATACCGTAGGGACTGTTTACGTAGAAAGGCTGAGCTTCGGCGTTGGCTGAGCTTCCAGCAGTGGGATATCTCAAATGGCCGAGTCTGTATTGAAAAAACTGTTAGAGATGTTGAAATACCTTGATACCACGAGAGAAGACAGACCCCATAAACCCAGGTAGATCGGCGACGCGCTGGCCGTCTTGGAAGACTTTTCCACACATTCCATTGCCTGCGATTTTATCTTAGTACGATATCCAACGTACACAAGTAGACCTAGATATTCACCTTTGCACTGGAAGATACGGCCGGCAGAGGCGCAAGTAGCTATACCACAGGCATCCTGACCGCGGTGTTGAAGGAGGTAGAGGGCTTCGTGGAGGTCAACGCTCGCTGACTCGGTGGGATTAGCGAGAATAAGGGCTAGAATGCCGCACATCTTGCTGTATCATCCATAGCAGTTAGCTGCATTGTACTACATAAAAATACAGACGTGTATGTTTATATGTAGAGCCATATCGATATTGGGGGTGTCAAAGTAGTCAGATATCATTGGATTTATCCACAGATGAGATTCAGTAGTCTAACATCCTTTTTTCCATTTGAATCATCATGCAGCAGGGGAAAATATATATAGTGATATATGCAGAGAAAGCAGTCGTACCTGGTTGTATAGAGAGTCGATGCGCTTCAAGAGTTGGTTAATATGATATCTCAGATGGGCTTTTTTGTGGCAACGGGCACGCCTAGCATGGAAGACTCATTGTGGGAATAGCAGCAGACAGGAGAGACAAGAGACAAGATCACTTGTAAGGCACAGTAGGAGGAGTGCCAGAGTCAAGGAGATTCACATCAACAGAGGATGCAAAGCTGAAGCTGAAGATGTTCATTTTCTTCTCCTTCTTCTAAGTAAGATTTTTTTTTTTTTCTTTCTCTCTTAAAAAAAAAAAAAAAAGTGAGGAAAAAAATAGATTGAGATGAAATTCTGGTATTGGCGGTACAGCAATTGGTAATATATCACCCAATCATAATATGTATATTAGCAGGTCTTGGCCAGAATTTGGCGGGAGGACATGTTTTGTGACAGTACGGTACACGGTTAGTGATGGATAAGATACGAGCATCAGCATTAATTTGATAGCAAGACAGCGAAAAGACCAGCAGAAGACAAAATAACAGAAGACAGCAGCAGGTAAAGATAAAGAGTGTGACAGTGCACCATAAAGACAAGAAGTCAGTCTATATGGTGGCAGACTCAGCAGGGAAGATGTCTATGACTCTGTGTGGTGTTTTCTGTGTTACTGTGTTGCTGAAGAGGACAAGCAACACACACACTAACCAGCCCCCTTAACACAGCTAATTGGTCTCTAGCAGCCATGCTAGATACACATATATATATATCTTCTTCTGCCTCTTCTTCAGCATCTTCTGGAAATACCATGACACTGTCAACCTTCTTCAGCACACTCAAACCAAGATGGAAGTCAACATTCTTCCAGTTATTGAGCTTGATTCGGACTCCGAGAGTATCAGCAGCAGCAACTCCACGATAGATGCAAACGGATATTCCTCGCCAGCGTCCTCTATATCGCCATCTCCAGGGTTTCGAGGGGATGACTTTATGTCGGATGCTGATTTTGAGGCATATGTGCATTCCCTATCAGGCAATGATGAATCGCCGAGTCCTACACCACGGAGAGCTAACGGAAGAACTATTCCGGCCCAGAGGGTACTACCTCCAAGAATACGCCTCAATGAGATTAGACATCAGGGGCGGACATATAGACCCGGGAAATTCATTGAACTCCAAGATGGAACGTTTATTCGAGTCAATCGGATCTTGCAGTCATCGGACGAGACTATTGTTTCTGGGCCCAAATTCGAACGACTGGAAAGCATGGGAAGTCGAATGCCCGGCAGACCCAATGAACTTTGTTGGATTGTTGATCAGGGCGACTATAACAGCAGCAGACACAGCAATGCCTCCGAGTACCGGCCCTACTGCGGAGAGGTAGAAGTTACACTCTCTGCGATCCGCCGGTTGCGCATCATCAGATTAACGAATAAACCGTATAGCCATTCTGTAGATGAGAACAGAGATGATGGGTTCCTTTATTGCCGGATGAAATATACCCGGATATGGAAGAGACGGCCGTCGGAGTCTGGCCGTAGTACTGCCGATATTGTGGAAGAGATAATCACCTTTCTCTCACCCGAGGATTGCCAGGCTTCCCTTTCGCTCTCCCGTGAAGAACTCAGAAACAACTGGCGTGGCACTGTGCTGCACAAGCGACGATACACCTTTGGGGATGGTTTCTGCGGTGCCGGCGGCGTATCAAGAGGCGCACAACAAGCTGGCCTCAAGCTTTCGTGGGCATTTGATAAATCAGAATCAGCCATTAACAGCTACAGAGCAAACTTCCCTTCCTGCCTCACGAAGCATAGTGAGGTAGCTCAGTTTCTAACCAGTTTACCCAGGGAGATACTGGTAGATGTGATGCATGTTTCTCCGCCTTGTCAGCCCTTCTCCCCAGCAAAAACTATAGCCGCGGCGCACGACGAAGCCAATGAAGCATGTCTATTCAGCATATACCGATTGATAGAGCTGTGTAAGCCCCGTGTGGCAACGATGGAGCAAACTAGTGGTCTGAAGCAACGCCATCCTGTCTGGCTAGATGCTATTATTCACTCCCTGATAGAGCTCGGTTACAGTGTGAGATGGCGACTCGTCAATTGCAAGGACTACGGTGTGCCACAGTCAAGGTGCAGATTGATACTCATAGCTGCTGGTCCCGGAGAAGAATTGCCACCTTTCCCCCAGCCTACACATGGAGATGAGCCAGGAAAACTGCCTCTTTTTACGATTCTTGATGCTATCAGTGGTATACCCAGCACGGCACCGGACCATGACCTAGAACGAGCAGAGAGACCCTTTGAGCGACGACCTTATGACCCACGCACACTAGCAAGGACGCTGACATGTTCGGGAGGAGACAACTTTCATCCGTCGGGGACAAGAACATTTACCCTACGCGAGGCAGCTTCACTGCAGACGTTCCCGTTGAACCATACCTTCTGTGCTCCTGGTGTGATGAAACAAATCGGCAACGCGGTGCCTCCTGTCCTTGCCCGAGCTGTCTTTGATGAGGTCGTCAAATCGCTTAGGAACACTGACTGTCCCGCGACCGGGCCCGTCAATGCGCCCATTACCATCGACTGAGTTTTGTTCATGTACTAACTACTGTGTTACTCAATACTATGCTCCTGTGTCGTTATATCATTGTTCTTATTATAGCCCTTTAGTCGGCCTTATCTCCATCTTATCTGATCTTATCTCATCTCATCTCTGTCAGCTGACCTCGGCTACCCTCGGCCCGACACCTCCCAACCTTCTTTTCTCGTCGCTTCAACTGCAACTTCGCAACTTCCTCTTCCTTCCTTCTTCTTTCGTCTCTTGTCTCTTCCCTTCCGTCGCCCCTTCTTCTTCCAGAAAGAAGCTGTTGATTCCTTCCCATAGAGGTAAGCTGTCCTCCCGCCACCTTAATTCCTTATCAGATCGTGGCCTGATATCAATTGAGCCCTTCTGTCGCTGCTACGATGTACAAGTCTGCCGTTGGTTGGGGTCGTTGCCGGCTTAGCTGCTGCGTCTCTGGACATGGAACCTGGCTGATTATATAACTGCAGATGTCTGCCGCTGCTCCGCTCCGGCGCCTGACTTGCGCCCCACGCTCGCTTGCCCTCAGAGCCCGCCCTGCGCTTCCTCTTCCCCTTCGCTCTCTGCGTCTCCCAGCTTCGGCCTCACCACGACGCACTTCTGCTCCCTTCTCGACCATGGCTGCTCTCTCCTCCAATGCGCCAGCTGCTCCGGCGGGGCCCCGCAGCTACGACCCTGAGATCAATGACATGGCCTCCTACATCCACAAGCACGAAATCAAGTCGGATCTCGCTGTCAGTGCCCCTCCATATACTCTACTAAATGTATCTTTCAGCAAGCAAGACGCGGACCGTGCTAATAATGATAGTAGTTTGACACTGCTCGCTGGGTCTTCCTCGACACTCTTGGCTGCGGTCTCGAGGGCCTCAAATTCGCTGAGTGCACAAAGCTGCTCGGCCCAATTGTTCCAGGCACCACGGTCCCCAATGGCACCCGTGTCCCAGGAACTCCCTACCAGCTTGACCCGGTGAACGGTGCCTTCAACATCGGCGCCATGATCCGCTGGCTTGACTACAATGACTGCTGGCTCGCTGCTGAGTGGGGTCACCCGTCTGACAACCTCGGTGGTATCCTGGCCGTCGCTGACTGGATCTCGCGAACCAACCGTGCTGGTGGTTCTCTCGCCAACGGTAAGGTGCTCAAGATCCGTGATGTCCTCGAGGCTATGATCAAGGCCCATGAGATCCAGGGTGTTCTCGCTCTCGAGAACTCCTACAACAAGGTCGGTCTCGACCATGTTGTTCTCGTCAAGGTCGCTACCACCGCCGTCGTCAGCAAGCTCATGGGCTTGACCGAGCGCCAGACCGCCGACGCCATTACCCAGGCCTGGGTTGACGGCCAATCTCTCCGCACCTACCGTCACTCTCCAAACACCATGTCCCGTAAGTCCTGGGCTGCCGGTGACGCCTGCCAGCGTGCCGTCAACCTCGTTCTCAAGGTCCAGAAGGGCGAGCCCGGTGTCCCAACTGTCCTCTCTGCTCCAGTCTGGGGTTTCTACGACGTCCTCTTCAAGGGCAACAAGTTCGCCTTCCAGCGCGAATATGACAGCTACGTCATGGAGAATGTCCTTTTCAAGGTCTCCTACCCTGGTATGTTCTCACTCGGCTTCTACTTCTCTACTCAATGCACATTTCTGACATCTACTAGCTGAGTTCCACTCCCAGACGGCCATCGAGGCTGCTACCAAGGTCAATGCCACCCTGAAGTCCATGGGCAAGTCTGCAGAGGACATCAAGGAGGTCACCATCCGCACTCATGAGGCCTGTGTCCGCATCATCGACAAGCAGTTCAAGCCCATGGACAACTTTGCCGACCGTGACCACTGCATCCAATACATGGTTGCCACCATGCTTTCCTTCAACCGCCTGGTCGCCAGCGACTACACCGACGGTTCCGAGGCTGCCACCTCCCCCTTGGTTGAGTCCCTCCGCACTCGCATCCGCTGTGTTGAGGACCCACAGATGACCAAGGACTACCACGACCCTGCCCTCCGCACCATCCCTAACGCTCTCACCGTCACTCTCAACGACGGCACTGTCCTCGACGAAGTTGTCGTCGATGCTCCTCTGGGACACAGACTCAGACGCGAGGAGGCCAAACCGGAGATCCTCGCTAAGTACAAGCGTCACCTCGAGGGCCACTTCGACGCCCAACGCGTCAAGCAGCTCATCGACCTCGGACTCGAGCAGAAGACTCTCGAGGAGATGGATGTTGACAAGTATGTTGACTTGTATGTTAAGGAGTAAACTTCCCCATAGACCATAGATTGTAGTCTTTTGTTAGCGATGAAAAATACCTGAGTGGAAATGACTAAATTGTACATTTTAACAATTCCCTGATCTAAATTATAATATTGCTAACAATAACGGTAAAATGATAGCTATCGGCTATCACTTTGTACCGTGGAAAGGAGGGAAAAGGGGGGGGATTGTGGAAGCGGCCAAATAACAGCCGTTTTTCAAGCTGCCGAGGTACCGAGGCCCACTTACTCGCCAAAACACCCTAGCTTTTCTCCGCCTTTTACATTTTCTCCGCATCCCTGAAACCCCCTTGGGTGAATTATTAACTGAGCCAGTCCAGCATTACACCAGCCATGGCCCGACAGGGGAGCTCGTTGGCTCGGATGCAGGATGGCAGAATTTCCGAGCTGTCTGGGATACTGCATAAAGAGAGGCATCTCGGGCCTGCCGGACGGGTATCTGTCCCAACGGCCACCTTGCAACTCAGGCATCCGGAGCACGGAGTAGATAGGCATTAATTCTACTGATACTTTTGAACGATGGCGCTTGCAGGTAAGCACTAGCTAGTGATCTGTGTGATATGGAGCGGAGTAAGCGCTGACTGTCCGCAGCTGCTATTGCCGGCGGGACGGCGCTGGCATATCTCAATGGGAAATACCAGCTGGCTTCTGATATATCCTCTATCATTTCAATGAGAAGAAGCGAGAGAAACGTTGCTGCAAGAGGTACCTATACTCCTGATTCATCTGAATACTGTCTGATACCCGTGCTGACGGGTGATAGTCGCGAATGGCACCATTTGCCCGTGGTTCTTGTTTGAGGACACGGTAAAGAAGTACCCTTCTGTCCGCGCCGTCTGGACACGAGAGACATGCTACACCTTTCGTGAACTCCATGATGTCGCCTGTCAGTATGCACACTACTTTCGCTCCCAGGGTGTGCAGCGCGGCCAGCTTGTAGCTACATACCTGCAAAACTGCGCAAATTTTCCTGCCACATGGCTGGGTCTATGGTCAATCGGCGCCGCACCGGCATTCATCAATTATAACCTGGCTGGAGCAGCGTTGCTACACTGCGTCAAAGTCAGTGGCGCCAGCATATTGATTGTTGATAACGATCCCATGTGTAAATCCAGGATAGAAGAGGAACGTTCAAAAATCGAGAAAGACCTTCATATCACCCCCGTCCTGCTTGACGAGGATTTCAAGAAGCATATCGATTCTTTACCGAAGACTCCACTGGATGTTTCACTGCGTCAGAACATGTCTCCCTCATTCCCAGGATGTCTCTTTTATACCAGTGGAACAACCGGTCTCCCCAAAGCCTGCGCATTCACCTTGGAGCGCATAAGCCAGCTCTTCGGCACTCGGGCATTACGTGATTCCCCCGGCGGACCCGATAGATGGTACAACTGCATGCCTCTATACCACGGGACAGGAGGAATTAACATGATTGTTTGCCTGGTAGGCGGTGTCTGCGTCGCGCTGGGCAAACGATTCAGCGTGTCCTCGTTTTGGCACGACATTATCGACTCTGAATCCACGCATTTCGTCTACGTAGGCGAGATAGCAAGATACCTCCTCGCTGCACCTCCCTCGCCATTGGACAAAGCCCATTCCGTACGCTGTGCGTATGGTAACGGTTTGAGACCCGATGTATGGGAGAAGTTCAGAACACGTTTCAATATCTCAACCATCGCGGAATTTTTCGCTAGTACAGAGGGCATGTTTGCATTATTCAATTTTGACCGTGGGCCGTACCAGGCTGCCTGTGTCGGCCATCATGGTCTTATACTTCGGAAACTGCTGCATAATGTCTATGTACCTGTAGCTAACGACCCAGTGACGGGAGATATCCTGCGCGATCCCAAAACTGGGTTCGCTACTCGCAATCCCTATGAGGTCGGAGGGGAGATCTTGGTGGCTATTCCTGATGAAAAGGCGTTCCAGGGCTATTGGGACAATCCATCCGCTACGTCGAAGAAGTTTGCCCGTGATGTGTTCAAGAAGGGAGATTTGTATTATCGATGCGGAGATTCCCTGCGTCGAACTAAAGACGGACACTGGCATTTTCTCGACCGTCTGGGCGATACTTTCAGATGGAAGTCTGAAAACGTCTCTACGGCCGAAGTAGCTGTGGTGCTGGGCCAGTTTTCTGGAGTCGCTGAGGCTAATGTCTATGGCGTCACTGTGCCAAATCATGAAGGACGAGCAGGCTGTGCCGCTCTCTTGATTGAACCACAAGCCCTTTCTAGCTTTAAATGGGATACATTCCTCAGACATACTCGTGAGAGGCTGCCTAAGTATGCAGTGCCAGTCTTTATAAGGCTGGTAAATTCCTCTGCACATATACATAACCACAAGCAGAACAAGGTTGGACTACGGGAAGAGGGTGTTGATCCATCTAAGAGAGGAACAAAAACCGAGGGTGGAAAAGAGGATAAGATTCTATGGCTTAAACCAAAGAGTGATACATATGAAGAGTTTAAAGATCAGGAGTGGGAGAGTCTTACTGCAGGAGGTGTAAGACTATAATCATATCTTATTAAAAAGATAGGTGTTACACATACGTGCTGAAGAGGCAGCAACAGATAGCCACAGAAAATCTATATTTTTCTTCAGGATTCATTCATATTTACACGCTCAAGCAAGACCCTAAGGGAGTGTTTATGGTATACATTACTAAACTTGACGGAGTCTATAAAGCAGGTAGGCATCCTCTCTATCCACGATTAAAAGTCTATATGATAACCATTAGCAAGACATCCAATATATCGAGAGCTATCATGACTTACGGTCTTCAGTGTTTCCTTCACCCATGCTCTTGTTTGAACTGCTACCGCTAAGGATAGATCCCACAATACCGTCGACATACGGCGCTCCACTCCATTTCTGATGTGTAAGTACATCGACACCCATCTCCTTTTCGCGTTTCTGCACCAAGTTGACGTAAGATAGCATGCCATCTTCCTTGAATCCACGAGACAGCTCAGTAGCAATTGTGGCATTGTAGTGCAGACCAGCGAGGGAGATCAGTTGGAGAATGAATCTAGTAATTGCCTAATTAGCTGCATGGACATCTCCGACGAACAGTACAAAAATTTACTTACCCATGCTCTGCCAAATCCCAAATAAATGATTTGAGGGTCTGCTCGGTGAATCCTTGTCCCATCCAGTTGAACGAGGGGCTCAAGTTGTACACCAACTTCTTGCCAGGGAATTGTTTGCGGATCTTACCAGCAAAGTCGGCTGCTTTGCTAACGTTGGGGTCTCCGGTCTCAACCCACAGGAGGTCCGCATAGGGGGCAAATGCAATGGCACGCTTGGTAGCTGCCTCATTGCCAGCATGGTAATGATAGAAGCCTTCGCGGGTGCGTGGGATATCCCAGGACCAGAAGACGGGGTTCTTCGTGTATTTGGCAGCCAATTCACGGCGAGCAGAGATCGAAAGATCACGGTTCTGCTCAACATGTGATTTATATTCATTTCTGACTGACTCAGAAGCACCTTCAGCGATGAGGTGCTGGTCCACGGCTAGGGGATGTTAGTAACAGGGAAAACAGGCGATGCAAAAAGACGAAGAAGTTTTACCTTCATCGAACGTAACAAGTTTATGTTTCTTAACCCATTGGGCTTCGTAAACATCAATCTCTGCGCCGGATGCGCCCTCCAACTCCATTTTCTGGAGCGTCTCGGCCAAGGGGTCCCCGTCCTCCGTCACACCAAGGATAAATTCGTGATCCCGCACGTCGATAGTGCTGCTCAGCAACTTACCACTTTCTGAATCTGTTCGTGCGATAAGTAGGTTCTCGGTGCCCATGATATCCCACTGGAAACGGGCCGCAACCAATCTGTTAATATGCTCCGCAATTGGTACGAGAACCTTGCCAGCAAGATGACCACACTTCTTGCCGCCGTGCAATTGATCCTCAAAGTGTACGGCTGCGGCGCCGTTTTCAGCAAACAACTTGGCCAGTTTCATGACTGCAGTGAGGCCACCGTGCCTAATGAGTTGTAAGTATTTGCGACTTTTTCTTATCCTGTTTGATAAAGATGCTGCTTACCCAGTATCACCATCTGCAATAATAGGGCGCATGTAATCAATGTATGGGGTATTCTTGCGCTCTTCTGGCGAGAGCTTTCGCCTGACATCCCAATGTTTCCTGTCATGCATGTTCTGGGCCTTGAACAGACGTTGTACCTGATTTGGCACGGTATTGTAAGGGTAGTCTCCAAAGTCCGGCGAGACCTCGTTCGTGGAGGTAAGAAGTGATGAGCATGCCCATCCTGATATATAAAGCACCTCCTGGTTTGGTGCTTGTTGGGTCATCTGTACGGGGTCGATTGCTCCCACTGTAAGCAATGTCTTCTATTAGCTGGAGTACATTTATAATCAAGCCCTGGAGATATTACTGACGAGTGTGGACTGGTTTGCCCTCCGCAGCTCGTTCATTCAGCAATTTGAACAGTTTCCTCGCCATCAACGAGCTGGGATATGTCTGCTGCAAGGCTCCTCGCTTGCTCACCACCGCCTCAGCGGAGTATGGTCTCTTGATACCCTCATATCTGTCGGATGCCCACCACTCGTTTACGGCCTTGATTTGCTCTTCAAACAGGGCGTCTTCGGCAGCACCGGCTTTCTCAGCGGTTGATAGGAGCTGATATGAGTCTGCTGGAAGCGCCGATGAGACGGGAGGGCGTACGGCGGGTAGCTGGGGGGCCATTCGCAAGCTGGTGCTGGAGATGCAGCGGATCGTGGGGAATGCGGGTGTCGGCTGGCGGAGAGCTCGCGGCAGCTGGCGTGACACTGAGCGAAGCATCCTGTTTCTCCCACTCCTCTTCTCGTTATCTTGTAATTTTCTTCTCCTTCTTCCTTAACTGTCCTTATTGTCGCTGTATTTTCTCCTCGTCTGCTGGTTTCCATTGATCGCTTCCAAGGTTGGTTCGTGTTGATGTCTTCGGCGCTTGAGGCCGACGTGAAAATCCGGCCGAGGCATCTCACAAAGTTTACCGCGGAAAACCGAGCCGTGCGCGAGCTTAAATTCACCCATAAAGAACAACTTCCGCCTTTCTCTCGCCGCAACAACGTCGACCGCCGCAGACGCAGGATCAACACATCTAAACAATTGCACGATCGAGAGATAACAATGGCTTTCACCGCGAGAGCTACGAGACAGGCGCTTCGCGCTGCCCAGGTAGGTTGCTGCGGCTGCTCGGGGAGAAGGAAAGGCGGCTGTTTGCTAATTGCTAGGTGCAGAAGTCCTCCCGCCAACTGGGCACCCGGTCCTATGCCACCGCTGAACCAGACCTGAAGACCGTCTTCAAGGATGCCATTCCAGCCAAGCGAGAGCTTCTCAAGCAGGTCAAGGCTCGTGCCGACGAGAACATCGGCCAGGTCAGCATTGGCAACACCATTGGCGGTATGAGAGGCCTCAAGGCCATGGTCTGGGAGGGCTCCGTTCTCGATGCCAACGAGGGTATCCGCTTCCATGGCAAGACCATCAAGGACTGCCAAAAGGAGCTCCCCAAGGGCACCACTGGCACTGAGATGCTGCCAGAGGCTATGTTCTGGCTTCTATTGACCGGCCAGGTCCCCTCTACTGCCCAGATCCGCGCCTTTTCTCGCGAGCTCGCTGAGAAGTCGGACCTCCCAAAGCACATCCTCGACCTCGTGAAGTCTTTCCCCAGGGATATGCATCCAATGACCCAGCTGTCTGTTGCTGTTGCTGCCTTGAACACTGAGTCCAAGTTTGCCAAGGCTTACGCCGACGGCATTAGCAAGGCCGACTACTGGGAGCCAACCTTCGACGACAGCATCGCTCTCCTTGCCAAAATTCCACGTATCGCTGCCTTAGTCTTCCGTCCCAATGAGATTAATGCCGTTGGCGCTCAGAAGCTCGATGCCAGCATGGACTGGGCATACAACTTCGCTGACCTGCTTGGCAAGGGCGGCAAGGAGCACGAAAGCTTCCACGACGTCCTCCGTCTCTACCTCGCTCTTCACGGTGACCACGAGGGAGGAAATGTCTCTGCTCACGCCACTCACCTTGTTGGTTCTGCTCTCAGCGATCCATTCCTCAGCTACAGCGCTGGTCTTCTCGGTCTTGCTGGACCCCTTCATGGACTTGCTGCCCAGGAGGTGCTCCGATGGATCTTGAACATGAAGGCTAAGATTGGTGACAATTTCACTGACCAGGATGTCAAGGACTACCTTTGGTCCACCCTCAAGTCTGGCCAGGTTGTCCCTGGATATGGCCACGGTGTGCTCCGAAAGCCTGATCCTCGTTTCGAGGCACTTATGGACTTTGCCAGCACCCGGCCAGAGATCATGGAGAACCCTGTCTTCAGACTTGTCAAGAAGAACTCCGAGATTGCTCCAGGCGTCCTCACTGAGCACGGCAAGGTACGAATTATATGTTGATACCAGACAATTTTTAACGGACGTACTAATAATGTTGCAGACTAAGAACCCTCATCCTAACGTTGACGCTGCTTCCGGTGTCCTCTTCCACCACTACGGTTTCCAGCAGCCACTCTACTACACCGTCACCTTCGGTGTCAGCCGTGCTCTTGGCCCACTCGCCCAGCTTATCTGGAGCCGTGCCCTTGGTCTCCCTATCGAGCGACCAAAGAGTATCAACCTCCAGGGTCTCTTAGACTCCACTAACAAGAAGTAGACGTTCATTCAGCTTTATACCACCAATAAACACCAACTAAAACATACAGAATAAGTGCCATTCCGGAAAAGGCACTAACAGTTTAACGACCAATAGATAGATGTATAGTGATTTACTTTTTTGCCAGAGAACATTGTATAACTAAATGGCTAGGAAACGTTGCTCTCTACCTGTGTGTTGATTGATTGCTACCTCTCGGGTTATATGATATTATCTCTGTAAAATATCAAGTCATATCTCATCTCGAACACTCGTTCCACGTTCCATCACCTACGTAAACCGGAGTCCATCTCTCTCGATGCCTGCTCCAAGGCTAGGTGGCACGTCGTTCTGTCCGGTTCCCCAAGAGCTCTCTTCCTTTCCAAGCGTAAGCTCAAGCGTTCCTCCGTTTAGGAAGAATTCATGTCCAATCCAATTCCGAGTGTACTCCTTTCCATTTAACCTTGCTCGTTGAATGTATATATTCTCATACCTGCTGTCAAAATTGACATTTCGTACCGTTGCAGTCTTCCCTGTTACCGGGTGTTTTATACTGACGGCTTCAAAAAAAGGAGGCATGATAAAATATACATTTTGTCCTGGATTTGGGAACAAACCCATCATCGCAAAGACAGTGAAACTGCCCATCGCCCCAGAATCGTCGTTTCCAGGCACTCCAGTGGTCGTGTCATTGAACAGAGAAGGAATGTAGGTATGTGCGCGTTTGGCGGATAAGGCAGGACGGCCAGCATAATGGTATAAGAATGTAGCCAGGAAGGACGGTTCATTACCAATATATAATATTTTTGAATCGTGGAGATAGTCTAGACGAGCAACAAACTTGGAACGGCCACCAAGAAGGGTGATTAATGTAGACATGTCGTGAGGAACGAAACTAGATAAATCGTCAGTGAAAATTTTCCCAATTGAACCCAAGACTGAGAAACGAACAATTGATTCTCCCATATGCCTGACTCGTATGTCTCCTGTGAGTTTGAGGTGAGGGAACAGAAGGCGGCAATATTACTGCAGAGTATTGGGTCTTGATAGCCCCATGTGCCATTGTAGTATCTCGGCTGAAAGAACCCAACAAACCCTGTATCCGTCCCATTTATGAATGAGGTCTGGTCTGCCTTGAATAAGTTTTGCCAATTCCCAGATCTCTGGAAATATTTCTCGTTCTCTTTACCTAGCCCTTTTCCTAACACTCCAACACAGTAATCGTTATATGAGTATTCGACTGTTCGCGAGATGCTGCGTGTTGTGATTCCGGTTCCTAGATAGTCATAGTCTTGTGCGGGAATATAACCAACAGACTTCCAGCTCATGAGTCCTCCTCTCCCTTCAACAGACCAATCCGATGGTTCAACTTCAGCATCTTTGACAACAGCTTCGTATGCAAGGTCCCAGTCGATGTTGTCAGTGATATTTTTCACATACGCATCAGCTATCACAACATCAGCATTGGATCCACTCTGGGTAAAGCCTTTGCATAAACTCATGCGACAGTCTGGTAGCCACCCTTGGTGTTTGTAAGTGTCAAGAAGGCTGCGTATCATTTTCGCTAGAGCGCTCGGGTCAATTATAGCGAGTAAAGGGATTTGTGAGCGAAACGAATCCCAAAGGCTAAGTTCCGTTAGAGATAAGTTCATCTGTAAAATGACATCGTATTACCGACATACCAATAGAAGGAATCAAAGTATGGTTCGTTGCTTTGCCAGAGTGGATTCTCCCCAGTATAATCCTGAGGTGAGATCATGGTACGATATATCGCACTCCAAAACGTCCGTTGAAAGGTATCGCTGACACCTCCCGCTTTCAACGAAATAAGGGCAAGTTTTTCTTTCCATGCACTCTCAGCATCTGTGCGGACTTTTTCAAAGTCCCAATTGGACCCTGGAATTTCCTTCTCAGCGTTCTTACAGGCTTGGTCTTCATTGATGAAGCTTAGTCCCACGCGGGCACTGACTCGAGTTGGTCCGTTACTCGACCCTTGAAATTGGAGATACGTTCCAGCTTTGATATAGAACAAATTGAATCCTCGTCCCACGGATAAAGCTTTGGGTTGCGTCCCTGCCCGATTGCTGATGTATACTCCGGTATCTTTTGCTTTTGCCCCAGAAAAGTCAACACACACAAAAGAATTGTAGGTTCCAATTCCAAAGCTAGGGAGGAAGGTCCCATTTGCTTTGACTCGAAGGGTATTCTCGTCTAACGAAATGGCCGCATTCTGTCTTGAGTCTTGTATGTCGGTCAGGTCTACAAGAATCACTGGTAACGTTCCATTTGATTCGGCATTACTATGGGGAAAATCAAAGTGGTATAGGGCAGCATGTTCAGTAACTGTCATTTCTGCGGCAATACCATTAATAAGCTTAAGGGCAAAATATCCAGGCCTCGCTTTCACACTATCGGCAATATAATGGACCGCTCTATCCTCCTTCGAGAACTTGCACTTGTTTATATCATCATCTTGACATATTTGCGGTACGAGAGGAAAGTTCCCCATTGATGGTTTGCCGCCAGTTCCAGAGTCGTGCATATGCGAGAAACCAGTGACATTGCTTCCTTCTGTAGTAAACCCACCATAGTTTTCGCTGCCGTCAACATCGGCCACGGCCTTAGCCATGCCGTATGGAAGACTAGCTCCAGGGAAGGCATGTCCACCATTTGCTGTACCAACTAGTTGGTCGACATAACGAAGGATATCACCTTTGTGTTGTGCAGTGACCTGAGAAACAAGGAGGCCAAGTGTAAGTAGTGAAGGGTATCGTAGCCAGGCAGCGAACGCCATCTTTCCTTCTCAAGGCTATGCCACTGTTGGGAAATGCGTTGAAGACGTTCTTTTGTAGTCCGAGAACAGAAGAACATCGTGCAAAGCTCAGTTATGCGGAGAGCATTCCTGAGCATCTAAGCTACGGTTATGCGGTGTAAGGTTTCCGTTCAGAAACCTGCTAGCTACATAATGTAATGCTTTGCAGCACAAAAGTGGCCTGATTGAGCATGGGCAGGGATTGCCTGTGAGGACTTGTTGTGTGAGAGTGGCACAACATCGTGTCTCATTGGTGGCATCTCCAGTTCGACCAAGAGATCGTCCGCACTAATTGATAGCCCCTCATTGATCGCACACCAGCAAGAAGCCAGGTTTTCACCTTGAGAGCAACAGGTGTACGGAGTAACTAGTTAGTGATTGTTCAACTCTTGAAGAGACTGCTACCGAACTTTCATCTCGTCTGAAGCCGAACTGCGCTCTGTCTTGGCCCCTGGGCAATAATAGCAGCTTTGGTACTCCGTATAGCGGCAGAAGCCTGACCAGAGAACGTGCAGCTCTACGTGGAACCGAATCGCTCGGTCTTCTTAACTAGTTTTGACGGGGGTCCTTTAGCCCTGCCTATCATTTATTTGAGAAGGACGCTTCGATGCAACCATCATGACGCCCATCGTCCGAATCAATCGCCATTTTCGGACCTGACGAAGAGAAATTCTGTATAATTTAGCGTGTATTCTGTGAATAGTGTTCTGTCCAGTCCATCAACAGCGAATGTTCGTGACAAGTGGACGTGAGTTGGTTTCGTTTGTTGTTGGTTGTTGATGTCGACGTCGATGTTGATGCCGACAGAAGGAAGGATTGCCCAATCAGGAGCGCCGTTCTAATCGATAAGGAAAATTTCATTTGCTGACTAATCACCATTTCGCCCCTCGATTGGAAATCCTGAAAAGGAAAACATCGAAATATTTTTTTTCTTCTTCATCAACTTCAGCGTCTTCAAAAGGCCGGCGGCCGTTGTTTTTGGCTTCTTTTTCTGTTTATTTCGTTTCTGATTCTGTTTCTCTGCGTTGTCTTCTCCTGAATGTGATATTCCTACACCCATTCGTGCGCCAACACTTCCCCATCCCACGCCTTTGACAGGTCGGGCTTCAATATTAAAATGCCCCTCCTCGAAACCGCATCTATGCAGTCAGAAAGAATCGTCCCTGTAGCATCGAAAGCTACGGATGGTGCTATCGGAGACGATGTTGCACACCTCCTGAAGACCGTATTTGAAGCCCAGACCTCGCAGCAGGCACTAGATGCTTCCTACGGCCTTACCAACCTACTTATCAGCACCGGGAGCGTTCGATGCCTCCACACATTCAATGTTATCCCTGAAATAAAGAAAGCGGCGACAGATAAGAAAAATGGTGCTAGGAGGGAGAGCTCTATGCTAATTCTTGGAGCTTTGTTTGAACAATATCCTTTGAAAAACCCGTTGAGCGAGGTTGTCTTCCTGCTTGAGAATGGCGGATTGCTTTACCTTGCCTTGGATCTCCTCGCAGATAAGGGTGCAGTGGTTCGAGAAGCAGCTCAATATGCCATTGATGCTTTATTTGCATGCCTGAAGGAGGAATCTTTAGTTCACGCTCTTATTGAGCCCCTTTCTCAATACCTCAGTAAGCCCACTGGAAAATGGCAGGGAACAGTCGGTGCGTACCAGTTGCTGGAAAAGGTAGCGAAAAGAGCCGAGATTGGTACGGAGAGCAAGGAGAAGGAGGAGCTTAAGGATCTTCTACGACTTAATCTAGGCCAAAAACTGAAGGATCTGATCCCTATTGTCGAGGGTGGAATGCATGACTTGAAGGCAGAAGTTGCTAAACAAGCTGTTAAAACTATGACTGCCCTGTCGACTGTCCTTGACAATGATGATGTTGCGCCGCGAATTCCGCTACTTCTCAAAACCATGGAGAAGCCCTCGACCGAAACACTCCAGAAAGCTATCCATGCGCTGTCTCAAACAACCTTCGTTGCCATCGTGACATCTCCAGTTCTCGCATTACTTACTCCCCTCCTTGAACGATCTCTCAACACCCCAACTACCACTCAAGAAGTCCTCCGTCAAACTGTCGTAGTTGTTGAGAATCTTACCCGACTTGTGCACGATCCCGTCGAAGCAAGGACCTTCTTGCCCAAGTTGAAGCCTGGTGTTCAGCGTGTCAAGGATGGTGCCTCTCTCCCTGAAGTTCGAGAATTAGCTACTCGAGCTATGAACGTTATAAACAAGGCCATGGGTGTTGATGAAGCCGGCACTACTGATTCACGTGCGACTACAGAGCAAGTAGAGGCCGTTCTTGAGGAGCATACGAAACCATACATCAAATTCAACCATACCGATGAGAAGCGTTTCTGGGAAACCAGCAGAAACTATATTGCTAACATGGTCCGAGATGATGCCAATTCACGACTCCTTGAACGTATTCAAGTGTGTGTGGGCCCATATCTCCAATCCTTCGTTCCTGAAGGAAAACACGACGAGATTGTTGCGACTGTGAAGGCTCATTTCGTTGAGGAAGATGAGCGCAGATTTGGAGTCCCAGTTAAGGAAGATGATGGGGAGATCGAAATTGTCAATGCCAACTTCTCCCTTGGTTACGGAGGCCGACTCCTTCTCTCCCATGCCAATTTGAGACTACTCAAGGGCCATAGGTACGGTCTTTGCGGCCGTAATGGTGTTGGAAAATCCACTCTCATGCGCAGTATCGCTAATGGCAAGCTCGAAGGCTTCCCACCTCAGGACGTCTTGAAAACTTGTTTTGTTGAGCATAATCAAGGCGAGGATGCAGAGTTGAGCGTCTTGGAATTCGTCACAAAGGATCCGGAGATGGCCGCTGCCGGTGAAGAGAAGATCTCCGCGGCCCTTAACGAGGTTGGGTTTACCCCTGGCCCAGAAGGCAGGCAGCAACAACCTGTTGGCTCTCTATCTGGTGGCTGGAAGATGAAATTGGCACTTGCCGGAGCTATGGTTATGGGTGCTGACGTGCTCCTCCTTGACGAACCTACCAATCATTTGGATGTCCACAATGTTAAATGGTTGCAGGAATACCTGAAGAAACACACAGAAGTTACCAGTTTGATCGTCAGTCACGACTCCGGTTTCCTAGATGAGGTCTGCACAGACATCTACCATTATGAGCAGAAGAAACTTGTTCACTACAAGGGAAATCTCGCGGAGTAAGTCGCCTCTGAACCATAAAATATCCCGCCCCGTATACTAATGAATGATTTTAGCTTCGTTAAGGTCAAGCCGGAAGCAAAGAGTTACTACACTCTATCCTCTGCCAACGCACACTTCAAGTTCCCACCTCCTGGTATCTTGTCTGGCGTCAAATCCGCGACTCGCATTATCCTGCGCATGACTAATTGTTCTTACACTTACCCGGGTAGCAGCAAACCATCATTGGTCGATGCAAGCTGTGCTCTTACTCTGTCCTCTCGGGTTGCTATCATTGGTGGTAACGGAGCAGGAAAGTCTACTTTGATGAAGCTGCTTACGGGTGAAACAATCCCACAGACCGGAAAAGTTGAGAAGCACCCCAATCTTCGAATTGGTTACATCAAACAGCACGCATTGGAGCACGTGGAAATGCATATGGAGAAGACTCCCAATCAATACCTCCAATGGAGATATGCCAATGGAGATGACCGTGAAGTCCTTCTGAAACAAACCCGTATACTCACCGAGGAGGATAAGATCCAGATGGCCAAGCCTGTTGACATCGGTGACGGAAAGGGCCCACGCAACATCGAAGCTTTGATGGGAAGGCAAAAGTACAAGAAGACCTTCCAATATGAAGTGTAAGCACGCCCGGTAGCCGTTCACCAATCTTGAAATCTGGTTAATGCTAACAAACACTAGTAAATGGAAGAACATGCTCCCCAAGCACAACACTCAGATATCGCGTGAAACTCTTCTGGAACTCGGATTCCAAAAGCTTGTCCAAGAATTTGACGACCATGAAGCCTCTCGCGAGGGTCTTGGATACCGAGTTCTCGAGCCTAAGGTTATCTCTAAGCACTTCGAAGACATCGGTCTCGACCCTGAGATTGCCAACCATAACGAAATTGGCGGTCTCTCTGGTGGACAGAAAGTCAAGGTCGTTCTGGCCGGAGCCATGTGGAACAACCCTCATTTGCTCGTCTTGGACGAGCCTACCAACTTCTTGGACCGTGACTTCTTGGGTGGCCTGGCTGTTGCTATCCGTGAGTTCAAAGGTGGTGTGGTTATGATCTCTCACAACGACGAATTCGTTGGTGCCCTCTGCCCTGAAAGATGGTACGTTGAAAACGGCCGGATGACTCATGCCGGTACTACTGCCGTTGCGCTTGATCGTTTCGAAGACCAGTCTCGCAACCCCAGCACTGTGGCCAGCAGTGTAGTATCTAGTGCAGCACCTTCAGCCGTGAACTCTGGTGCCGAAGACGGAGGCGAGCTTAAGTTCAAGGCTAAGAAGAAGAAGAAAATGACCAGAGCTCAACTCAAGGAGCGTGAAGTGCGCCGCAGGCTAAGACACATTGAGTGGCTTAACAGCCCTGCCGGAACTCCGCACCCGCCCGATACTGATGACGAGCAGTAGCTTGCCATCGTACCTTAATTCTTTCGTTTATATATATTTGATTCAAAGTACCTAATGGTTGTTATGAGTTCGGATATCTCACGAGTTTATGTCTTGTTTTTTGGCGGCCCGTTGTTTGGTATCGTTCGTCTCCGGTATACGCGACCGGGTATCCCTTTTTATAGACAGAGACGGGCACTAATTAGATAGAATCCGGGTCATTGGCGTTCTGGGTTCATATATATATTGTTTTTGATAGAGGTCTAAAATTGGATTGAACGTTTTTCTTTTTGGGGGCACGAGTGTCTAAATAGTTATCTGCGCCTAGTCCATCTGCGCATACGCCTCAAGCGCCTGGTGAAGTTGTCCGAAGATCCCGTCATGCCAGCTCGTCAAAGCCTCCCATTCTTCCTTGGGGAGGGTGACTTGGCTCATTCTCAGCCATCCTCCGACAATGAAATCTGCATAGGATGGCCTGTTGCCCAGCAGAAACGGTCCAGTTATGTCTCTCCTGTACAGCTCCGCTAGCCCAGAGAGGGCCTGCTCGTACGACTTGAGCATTTCGCCTCTCTGCTCCCCCTTAACCGACAAGTCTTCCCATGGGATTCCTGCCCTTCGTGAGAACTCGGCCTTTGACTGCTCTGCCGTGGCTGGATCAAAAGGTAGTCCGTGTACCATGAGCGGCACATGTGCGGTAAATGCAGCGTCGACACTGGTGTTGAATTTGACGTATGCCTCTATGGACTTTTCCACCTTCGACTCCGCGATGGGCGCGAACAGTACTGGGCCTTCTCCATAGGTGAAGGACAGATCTTGCTCTGGGAACAAGTCTCCTCCAGACGACGGGTGCTGGCGCTGAAGATACATGGCTATCTCAAAGGAATCTCCTATAACTTTGCCCGTAGCTGGGTCAGATAGCATAGGGAGAGTGTGATATGGAGATCCATCAGCGAAGGTACGTGACGCTGGGACGTTAAATGAGGTCCTGACAGTGCTTATATCAGGCAGAAGAATCCAATTCGTCTTATAAGGGATTTTTTTGAAGTTGAGGGCGTATCTCGACTTCCAAGGGTTGGGAGAGGCTGCGTTTTCTATTACTGGCGGTGCGAGGGCGATGTCATAAAATGTTATGACCAACTCAGGTGCAGATAAAGCCATGGAAGAGGCAGTTGGAGAGTAACTGACTATCGTATACTGTTTAGTTAACTCTGGGATATTCAACATTGCTGCGTCTCCAGACCCCCTGTGCTGTCTTACGGAGTACCTTTTATCTGGCACGACGACACATCCCCACGAAGGATAGTTACTATGCATGAGCAGGAAAGACTCATGAAGACTCATCGTACATAACCAGCTACGGCTTGGCTTGATGACAACCAAGAACATTTACGGCTTTGCTCGACATCAACACAGTTAGTTACATGCTGGGCATCAGTGTCGCTAGCAACAGCATCACGAACCTCAATTCGAGCTCTACGTCGCCAACACCGTCAGCATCGCTCATCTCCGAACCCTCGCTCGGCAGATGCAACACTGGCGGAACATGACATCATGGCGCTTCTCCCTTAAAACTCTGGTGGCCACCTCGCGGCTTCATAACTCACACTTGCCCAGGTATAGCCGGTGTTTTTCCGCAGATTCTGATCCTTCAAGAAGCTGCACTGGGGCGTCATCTTCCGAGAAGAACATCTCTGGAGTCTGCAATAAATCCTCAAGACGAGACGACGAGGCCGCATAGTTAACTAAAAAACTTGAGAAAAGACATCGAACAACTAGTTACTCCAAGTTTGCGAAAGTCGCTCGTATCAACTAAAAATATTCGAGCCGGCAAGACGCCGTGAAAATTCTCTGGACTACTCCACACCAGAGTGGACAAATCTTTTTTTTTTGCTTCGCTTGGGAAAAGGGAATTACTTATATCAACGTCTTCACCTCCTCCCTGGACGAAGAGAGGCTATCAGTGCATGCATCGCCCACACTGGATGCGTAGCACCGTGTACCACCCATAAGCGACAATCCATATCATCATCAAGGAGCTGTAGATGGAATAGAGCTGTCTCTATACTCCGTACAGTGATCTCGACCCGCTGCCCGTGAAATCCCATTGAAATCCCATATGCGACAATCTCGAGACCGATTTCCTCTCACCCATCGAGAGCTTGCCCTACCAGCCTTTGTTACTTCGCCCACCAACTATCACCAGTAACTACTAGAACTACTAGCTAGCTCTTGGGATAACTAAATCTTCATTGATCAAGATGGATCACGAAAGCATCGGCACCAAGGCGGAGAGGTATCCGTCCCCTCCAACCTCAGGGGATGAAAAGGGATCGATCGATAGCGATGCAGCCAAGCTGGCGGCCATGGGGTACACCCAGGACATGACCCGCAAGTTCTCGGTGCTTTCCTTGCTTGCAGTTGGCTTCTCCCTTACCAACTCGTGGTTTGGTATCTCTGCCTCTCTGGTTACGGGTATCAACTCAGGGGGTGCGGTGCTGACTATCTATGGCATACCATGGATCGCATTCATCTCGACCTGTGTTGCCATCACCCTCTCTGAGCTCGCCAGTGCCATGCCCAATGCTGGAGGACAGTATTTCTGGGCAAATGAGCTGGCTCCCAAGAGGTATGCCAATTTTGCATCGTACCTGACCGGCTGGTTTGCCTGGGCCGGGAGCATCTTCACATCTGCCAGTGTTGCTCTGGGACTCGGTGCGGCCGCGGTTGGTATGTGGCAGATGGGCCATCCTGACTTGTAAGAAACTCTAGTGTACTTCACCTAATAGTGTATAGTTATAGGGAGGCTGACTACCATACTAATAGCGTCCCTCAGCCATGGCATACTGTCGTTGCCTACCAGGTGATAAACGGGTTTGCATTTCTGTTCAACTGCGTCGGAAGACTTCTCCCCAAGATCGCCACTGTTACGCTCTACACCTCCTTAATCTCCTTTATCACGATCCTCATTACTGTTCCCGCCAAAGCGCCCACACACCAGTCAGCCAAGTTCGTCTTTGCGACATTCATCAATTCCACAGGTTGGAAGCAGGATGGCATTGCGTATCTGGTTGGTTTAATCAATACCAACTGGGTGTTTGCGTGTCTTGATGCCGCAACGCATATGGCTGAAGAAGTCGCTGCCCCCGAACGATCTATCCCCATCGCTATAATGGGAACAGTCGCAATCGGCTTTCTCACTGCATGGTTCTATGTGATCTCCATGTTTTTTAGTCTGAACGACTTCAACACCGTAGTCAAATCCCCGACTGGTGTGCCCATCCTCGAACTCTACTTTCAGGCCCTCGGCAGCAAAGCTGGCGCTATTGTCCTCGAATCTCTCGTCCTGGCCACTGGAATTGGTTGCCAGATCGCTTCTCATACATGGCAGTCTCGCTTATGTTGGTCCTTTGCCCGCGACCGCGGCCTCCCTTTCCATACCACCCTAGGCCTGAATAAGATCAACCCCAAACTCGATGTACCTCTGGCGGCTCATGCATTTAGTTGCACCATCGTCGGCCTTTTGGGGCTCTTATTCCTTGGTTCCTCAACTGCATTCAACAGCATGGTTACTGCATGCATCGTGCTGTTGTACGTGTCATACGTCATTCCAGTTGTCTGTCTTCTTATTAAGGGACGGAACAACATTCAGCACGGGCCCTTCTGGCTAGGCAAGTTTGGTCTTGCTGCCAATATCATCCTGCTCTGTTGGACGCTATTTACTCTTATTATGTATTCGTTCCCTTCAGTCTATCCTGTCACTGCTGGAAGTAAGTCTACTCTCTACCCCTATCTAACCCCTTGTGATTAGTCACAATCATTTTAACTAACAAGCTACCCAAAGCTATGAACTACGTCTCTGTCGTCTACTTTGTTGTCATTATGATCATCGTCGCCGACTGGTTCCTTCGAGGAAGGCGAGAGTACCGTGGACAAACCGCCCGCCACGAAGATGCAGAAGCCCTCCATCGACGCAGCAGTGTTGTACATAAGTAGCTATCTCAACGGTTTTTTTAGAGTACATATGCATAGCTTTTCCTTTCTTTTCAACGTTTACACATAACATATGGCTAGTTAGTTACGCCACAAAGTTTCATATAAGCGCTTGATATAACTAAAGCATAGAAGAAACTAAAGCATAGAAGAATAGACTTTCAGCGACCGATACAGAAGTAGATTCACCTATAGCTCTTCTCCCCTAAGAAGCGAGCTGGTCTGCAGTTGCAAGTGTCTTGTCTCCGCCAGCGCCCCGCCCCCTCCGTATTTTTTCTCCTGTGCTTAGACTTGTCAACTATATTGCTGCCATCAATTTTGACCCAAGCGAAGCCGTCGCTGCCTCCTCACATGTTCAGCCATGCTTGTTCGACCAAGAAAAGTGATCCAACATGCATAAATAAGATAGCACCTTCTCTTGCTCTAAGTCAACCAACATTCATCAACGTCTACCAACTCCAGGTTATCGGTTCAATATCCACCAAGAAAAAGGTGATTCTCTGGTCCTATCCATCATTTAGTAGCTGGACAGCCTCGTTGCACTCTACTCTAAGAATATTTACCATGGCTGTCCATCCTGCTTATTCCTGCATCAGAGGCGTTGCGCGGGCAATACTGCAGGATTTATGTAGCCAGGAAATTCCAGAGTCGGGACTCGCTATCTCCCCTGCATCTATAGGGATCGCGATGGCCATGTTAATAGGTGCTGCCACCCCGTCGGACGCAGAGAGGATGTGCACCTCATTGGGCGTGGCGAGGCCAGAGAAATTCGACGTTGTCCACCATTTTCTAAAGCACTGCAAAGATACCACTGCAGTAGCGAATGCATTATTTGCTGACAAGGGGACAGTACTAGATGATGAGTACGCTCGCTTCTTGGATGGGTTTGACGTCTGCGCAAACATGGAATTTCCACGCTTACTTGACGGACTAACCGCTATAAACGGCTGGATATCGGACAACACCATGGGCATGATCAAAAACATGATTTGCAATGACAACCTTGCTCACTCTCACCTTGTACTCATCAATGCACTAGCATTCAAGGGCATCTGGAAAGAAAAGTTTGATCCGAAAAACACCGTTTCAGACTACCAATTCAAGGTCACGGATTCAGATATTCGCCGTGTTGACATGATGTTTCGTTTTGGAGAAGAAATATTCGTATGTGATACACCAAAGTACAATGCAGTGAAGCTACCATATGAAGCTGAGAGTCTTTCTGCATCAACTTCATTCAAGGCTTATCTACCGCGTGACGGCGTATCAGTGCAAGAGGTTTTGTCCAGCCTGTCTTCTGAACAGGCCCCATTCCGCCAGAAAAAAGTTAGTAGGCTCGGGTTTCCAAAGGTTGACATGTCCTATGGTACGGATCTTTTGGAGGTTTTCCAGCACATAGGGACCTATATTCCCTCTGGTTTTCCCAAGATGGGAGCCGGAGAAAATATTCTCAGTGCTATCCTCCATAACACGGCTATCACGATCGATGAACAGGGTACCAGGGCCGTCGCTGCCACTGCTATAATGATGACCAGGAGTGCGGTGGAGCCATCGACCGTTCTTGTTTTTAATAAGCCGTTTGTCTTCTCTATCGAGTCAGAAACGACACAGTGTCCCTTGTTTATGGGCGTGTTCTTCCCGAAACGTTGATGGCTCGTTCAATGAGCATATGTTTTATCGCATACCCATTTTATATCGCCATGGGAGCTCGTCATTCAGTAAAATCGTATAATGAGGTCTTCCCTCCTGATTTCTTGTACCAGAAATGTACAAATTTAGTGAAGAGGGCCTCAGACCGATAACTTGGACACTTGTCAGTATTATGATGTTGCATATCGATTAGCAAGTATACATCCCGTACGATGCTTTAAGATAGAAAGAATCTTCTATAGTATATCTCAGAGTTTTGCACCGTACACTAAGACGGCAGAGTTCTGGGGTATACGGTTCTTTGACGAGAATTTATATGGTATGATTCCATAGCTTCCAAGATTATGTTGAGTGTGTATGGGATATTCGGGTACATTTGACCCCACGTTGTCATACTGAATATATGTCATTTAAGCTGGATAGCTACTGAACAGACGTACTCCGTACTCTCCAGCAAATATTATTATCGAGACGTTAAATAAAGGGGTGGGTAAAAGGAGAAGCGCCATGCCTTTCTATTGGCTGAGCAATTATACAGGAATTCGCCAATCAGACACTTTACAGCCGCATGAAACTTTATCTCAGCATGATATAATAACTTCCTGCATTACTATTGGCCATTATTGATGTCTGTGATTACATAATAGGACCCTTCTTTGAGACTGAATAGGAGGAAAGATACGCCGCTCGAACGCTCAGATTTCTCCATACAATTTACTCTCGACCGCTCATGCCTTTGCTTGCTGTAGTTATGCGTTTTGTCAGTCATTGGCTCTACTGGAAGTGTTATGTAACCGTCCATTTGTCTCAGCTCTAGAAATCGACCGGCCAGGGCATATGCGTCATAATTGGCTACCCCTATTTGTTGCCACTGGGAAATCCATCCCTTTTGGGTGTATATACCTTGCAATATTGGCATTGCTCTACTTCTACATATTCTCCATGATGGATAGCAGATGATCATTCACTATTCAATTCAATGCACTATTTCTTTACGTCAACCGGATAATCACGACTGTTTCGAAACCTGCAATAAAAGAGATCCCAAACTAGGTCGCCTTGTCAAAGTTGATCGAAAGAATACGCAAGCTCAGATTATGAACTTGAGTGATATTTAAATGCTGGTTCATGATTTCCATCATCAGCCCACCCAATTTCACCAACTGATCCGCCAGCTATGGATAAGTTGAAAGAAACGAGGAATCACAGCGCAGCATGGATCAAGCAAAGGAGGCTCCTTTCTCTGATACTCTTCCTAATCGCTGCTCTTCTCACAATAATTATCATATTTCTATTCTGGGGAAGCCAGGAGAGCCTCGACCGTCCCAGGTTACAGCGCAAATACAACATCCCTGACAGAGTAAGTCTTAGAAGCATGAAGACAGGGGCACGCTGTCTGCTGTTTTCCACTTTGTCAATTTCCAAAACCAGTATGATTCAAGTTCTTACCTGGAATGCTTCCAATGCATATTAATATTCGTTATACTAGACACTTCCCATGAAACAGCGTTCTCCGCAGGTTAAAACAGTTCCAAGATGGCAAGACAGCTATTTCAAGGCCCAGTCACTGGTGAACAATATGACTCTGGTAGAAAAGGTCAATGTTACAACTGGTGTAGGCTGGCAAATGGGGCTTTGCGTTGGTAATACGGGTTAGCTTTTTCTACCACCAGCAATGCTTAGCATTGAACGTACACAAACTAATGTTGTTTCCCAGGTCCTGCCACGAAAGTCGGATTTCCTTCGCTATGTTTCCAAGATGGGCCGTTAGGGATACGCTTCGCTGACAACATTACCGCATTTCCCGCCGGTATCACGGTTGGAGCTACCTGGAACAGGGAGCTCATGTATAAAAGAGGCGAAGCACTGGGAAGAGAGGCTCGGCGAAAAGGAGTAAACGTGCTCCTAGGTCCTTCCATGGGCCCTTTGGGCGTTCTTCCAGCGGGTGGGCGTAACTGGGAAGGCTTTGGCACCGATCCTGTCCTTCAAGGAATTGCCTCCGCAGAAACCATACGAGGGACGCAAAATGAAGGGGTAATTGCCACCGCAAAGCATTTTGTTCTGAACGAACAAGAACACTTTCGGCAGCCACATGAATGGAACAATTCTGAAGCCATGTCTACCAATATAGATGACCGCACACTTCATGAGGTATACGCCTGGCCATTTTCCGAAAGCGTCCGTGCTGGTGTTGGAAGTGTAATGTGTGCATATCAAATGGTGAACAACACATACTCCTGCAACAACAACCGGCTTTTGAACGGAATACTCAAAGATGAGTTGGCATTCCAGGGTTTCGTTCAGTCAGACTGGTATGGACAACAAGTTGGTGCCGAAAGCGCCCTTGCAGGAATGGACGCGAGCATGCCTGGAGAAATACATTATTCAGAATCGGGAGAATCATTCTGGGGACCAAACCTGACTACTGCCGTTCTTAATGGATCCGTTGAAGTGGGAAAATTAAACTATATGGTAACCAGAATAGTTGCGGCATGGTATCAATTGAAGCAGGATGAGTGGGAAAAGCCACCTCCTGACGGCAGAGGGGGGCCTAATTTTTCGTCCTGGACAAAGAATAAAACGGGTCATTTGCATGAGGGGAGCGATGATGACCAAAACGTGACTGTTAATCGCTATGTCCGGGCACCAAATGTGTGGAATAATTCCCACATTGATCTTGCTCGGGAAATTGCAGTTGAAGGCACTATCCTTCTAAAGAATGAAGATTGCATATTACCCCTCTCTGCTAAAGGAATCACTTCGGATAGGAAGACCAAGGTAGGCGTCTTTGGGGAAGATGCTGGCCCAGGGGACGGACCGAACGTTTGCCCCGATAGGTCCTGCAACCAGGGTACTCTTGGATCAGGATGGGGCAGCGGTGCGGTCGACTTCCCGTATATCATCACCCCATGGGACGAGATCAAGAAGACATATGACAGCAACAATGTGTCTCTAAATGAATATCTTTATAACGGCATCCAAGATAATGATTTGGAGGATAAAGACTTATGCATTATATTTGCCAATGCGGATTCAGGGGAGGGATTTGCCTCCTGGGAAGGGATATATGGGGATCGCAACGACTTGTCCATTCAAAAGGATGGCAATAATTTAATTAGGCAGGCTTCTGATAAGTGTGGCAAAGGCAAAGGAAGCACCATCGTGGTTCTTCATTCTGTTGGCCCAGTAATGATGGAAGATTGGATTGAAGAGCCTGGAGTTAAAGCTGTTGTGCTTGCAAATCTACCCGGTCAGGAAAGTGGCAAAGCCCTTGGAGACGTCTTATTCGGTAGAGCTGATGCAACCGGGAGACTCCCATATACCATCGCAAAGGATCCTGAAGATTATGGGCCCGAGTCCAAGGTTCTGTATAAGAGCGACGACGTAGTACCCCAGAAAAACTTCACCCAGAGGTTATATTTCGATTACCGATACTTTGATAAGCAGAACATTACACCCCGGTACGAGTTTGGTTACGGCCTATCATATACCTCCTTTCAATTGTCGGGTATCAAAGTCAGAGCCCTAAGCCAGAAATCAGCGACAGCAAATTCAAGGTCTGAGGTTAACGTGACTTTACCTTCATATAATGAAAGCATCCCAGACCCAGATTCAGCCCTGATCCCTGAAGGATTCAACGGACTAGAAAGATATGTCTATCCATACATCACGTCCGTGGACGATGTTCAGGAAACGGAGCGTCTTCACTTTCTCCGACGACGTACTGACGAATACGACTTACCTGCTGGGGGTGGTGAAGGAGGCAATCCATCACTCTTCGAGTCGATGGTCAATGTGAGTCTCACGGTCAATAATACTGGGGAACGAGCTGGTAAAACCGTGGTTCAGCTTTACGTCTCTTTTCCGTCCAGTGTTAACGAGACAATCAAAGAAGGGGAAGATGAGGATGAGTGGGTGATATCCATAGACTTCCCTAACCGTGTGTTACGGAACTTCGAAAAGATCGAGCTACAACCTGGTCAGTCAAAGGAAGTGACCTTGTCCTTGACACGGAAGGACTTGAGTTACTGGAGTATTTACCAGCAGAACTGGATAATGCCTACAGCCGGGAAATTCAAGATATGGGCTGGGCAGAGTTCAAGAGACCTACCTCTGACTGGAGAATTTTGAAATCTATGACTGGGATCTGTGTTCCATGGGCCTTGATAACCCCTGGCCCTCTGTTATTTCGAGCGCACTTGGTCCCTTGTGACGTAAATGTAGTTCTCCAGCTGAGGTGTATGTATGAATCCAAGCGAGTAATATCTAATCCTAGCCACGTAATGCATGTTCTTGCATGTCAAGTCTTCGACCAGCCTATGAGAGAATAGACTTAGATGTTGGACCCCCTGCGGCGCAACTACAAAGTATTTTAAAATGCACAGCAGCCAATTTGGAGGGTGTCATCTGGTTCCCAGTCGGGATATCCTCGCGAATATTGCATGAATAGCTGTGCGAACAACCCGAGCTGGCTGCATTCCCAACCATACGGAGGCCGCGGGACAGTTCGCGGCACACCTAGAAGCACAAGCCGTGCCCTGCATAGATAAGGCAGAGAAGAAACTGTGTTTCCTGAAGTGGTTAATGGAAGCCCAGACATACAGGCTACATTGCGTGTGTGTACTCTTGTACCCCGACACCACCATGTTCTAGGCCAGCTCGTACAAAGATTCAGCCTCGACATAGGACATGCTAGCATGTATAAAGGGAGGGAGGCCTCCTGGTTGGAGTTTACTCCCTTTCAAACGTATATACCTGCAGATAGCCTCGTTAGAAACTCGTTTTATATACCATTCTTTGGCAGTAGAGACTGTTATTATATCCCACAATAATGGCGCCAAGAGTTACACCGGAGTTCGACACGAGCAGCAGACCTGGCTCTGCATACGAAATCGATAAAGAGGCAATGTTTAACGGGTATAATAGAAAAATCAGGGTATTGACTATAGGGGCGGGCCTGAGCGGTATCATGATGGCCTACAACATCCAGAAGCATTGCCAGAACGTCGAGCATGTTGTATTTGATAAGAACCATGATATAGGTGGTACCTGGCTGGAGAATAGATATCCAAACTGTGCGTGCGATGCGCCGAGTCACTCTTATATATTCAACTTTGCTCCTAATGTTGGTATCACCTTGTCTTGTCCGCCGTGGGAGGGTGACTGTATTGATATCAAGATGGATACTGATGTACTTGGTAGCCCGAGTGGAACAACATCTATTCATATGCCACAGACGTATGGGCGTATCTGGACAGAGTATGCGAAGTCTTTGATCTTCGCAAGTACATGACCTTCAACACGAGAGTGATAGGCGCCTACTGGGAAGAGACTTGCGGCCAGTGGAGGATAAAGCTCAGTCAGACGACGCCGGATGGATCCCAGAGAATTATCGAAGAGAGATGCCATGTTCTGCTGAATGCTTCAGGGTTTCTAAATAAGTTAAAGTGGCCAGATGTTCCTGGGCTTGACGAATTCAGGGGAAGGGTAATCATCTCCTTGCTGGCTTCTGAAGCCCAGTCTATCTGTGTTGATAACTAACGGGTGAGGACAGTTGATTCACACCGCAGCATGGCCGAAAGACTACCAGGCAGAGCAGTGGAAAGGGGAGAGCGTTGTAGTAATTGGCAGCGGAGCCTCGAGCATCCAGACGGTTCCTGGGATGCAGCCACACGTGAAGCATATGGATGTATTCGTGAGGACAGTAAGTCTGCGCTTTGGATGCACACCCCTTTCAGTGGCCTCCTATCTTGACCACCGTCTATAATAGGGTACATGGTTCGCAGCCATTGCGGGAAACCAGGGAGGCAACTCAACCTATTCGGACAAAGAGAAGGAGATATTCAGGTCCGATCCGCAGGCGCTGGTTGAGCACTGTAAATCCTGGGAAGACCAGATCAATGCCCTCTGGGGGATGTTTTATAAGGGAAGCCCGGCACAGGCGGCTGTCCGTCAGATGTACGAGCAGCGAATGGCCGAATGCATCAAAGACGAGCGTCTCTTAAGGGGTATAATAGCTATTTTCGCCTTCGTCATGACAATGAGCAGTCAGGCTGATGAACAAATTGACAATGATAGGATTTCTGCCTTCGTTTGGCGTGGGATGCCGCAGAATGACCCCTGCAGATCCATTTATGGCGGCGATCCAGCAAGACAACGTCGACGTCCACTTCACGGCAGTGACTGAATTCACAACAGACGGGTTGATCGGCGAAGATGGTACCGAGAGAAGGGCGGATACGATCATATGCGCCACAGGCTTCGACACTTCGTACCGACCCAAGTTCCCGCTTGTTGGCCAGGGGGGCGTCGATCTTCGTGAAAAATGGAAGACTCACCCGGAGTCGTATCTTGGCCTGGGAGTCCCTGGGTGAGTGACGAAATAATACCTATGGATGCCCTCGAGTTCTAATTCTTGGATTCAAAGTAGCTGCTGATCACTGAGATGCCTAGGTTCCCTAACATGATCTCTTTCTTTGGCCCGACATGGCCTGTCCACAACGTACAAAACTACCTTTTCTTCCATCCCTCGCAACGTCTAGAATGACATATCTATACGGAGTACGGAAAAGTTTGGCTGACTGGCAGACAGGGATCGGTGGTCGGCCCACTGATGGAGGCGGGCAGCTATGCCATTGAATTTATCCGCAAGATCCAAAATGAAGATATACGCTCGATCAGCCCGCGACAAGACGTCACCGACGCTTTCAACGAGCATGTCCAGGAATGGAGCAAGCATACCATCTGGGCAGACCGCTGCCGGAGCTGGTACAAGGACTACAAAACTGGACGGGTGAATGCGATATGGCCGGGCAGCTCGGAGCATTTCATCGAGCTGATGAAGCAACCCCGGTTCGAAGACTACACAATCACTTATCGGAAGAAGAACATGTGGAGTTTCCTAGGGCTGGGAAATGTTCCTGCGAATATCACAGAGGGAGTTGATCGAAGTCCGTATCTCTCTGTGGATGCGATTGATCCTCGCTGGCTGGCAGCGATCAACAGGGAGCGACAGGACTAACTGCCAGGCAGAGGTGGCTCACAGAAGGCAAACACATGCAAGAAATAATCATTGCTGCAGGCGAGCTTCACAATCTTGTCAACTAGTATCAAATTTGGTATGGAGTACTCCGTAGAGAGAGAGAGAGACAGGAGAGAGGGCATTCATTTGACCACTGTGGGCGCAACGACTGCCTGCCTTCGCTTGGTTAATATTGTACCCGCAAGACCAGGTATTCATTTAACCCGCCCCCAGACTGAACCCACTCGATGGATGGAGGCTACGGCGTACTTAAGTAGGTACAGCGGGTCTAGCTTGGACGGTTGCGATATGTGGCTCTCCGTCGTCCTAATAATATAACTGCCCTATGGAGCATTTTTTTTTTTACTGCTATCAAGGGAGAATCGATCTGATGGACATGGCTTTCTTTTGATAGGAAAATTTTTCAACCATCAGAAGCAATATTTGAAGCAATTCGGTAGATATACTTCGTACTGTAGCCTGGCAATGGTACAATGGTACAGGCACGAGGGCGCCCCCGAATGATGTGGAGGAGCCATAACTATGCTCAACCGTGGGTAACTCAACTACCTATGGAGAATCGCCTCAGACAGCTGTGAATTTAAGCCCTTCCGCAGTGAGTTCCCCGAGTGGTGAGCTGAAGCGCTCAAAGACATGTCTTGGATGTGCACCTCGTAAACGCAGCCAATTCACCCAATGCCTGGCTCGAGAGCTGAAGGACAACCGTCATACACCCGGATAGAGCAATATATCAGGATTTGGAGGACGAGGGAAATCGCAGCGAGATCCACCCATCTCCATTAGTTATCAGCCTCTCTTCCCTGCCGCTGCGGTATCTCCACCGTGCTAAACTGCTAAGCAGCTCAAGAACGGGTCGGCGATGTTTCAGTTTTCGGTCCTCCATTGCCACGAACAACGGCAGTCTGCAGATGCGCTCTCTGCCTATTGGGCCCTCCGTAAGTACAGATGGAGATAAGCCGCTGGCAGGATGGTTGTGAAAAAAAAAAATGTATGTAGAGGATACGAGGGCCATGGGCGCTGCGTATGTCTTTATATACGATGAGAGATATATGGATCGACTATATAAATCTACCCCCTTGTCTGCGCTCTTTTAAAAAAAATTTCTGTCCCCAGAAAAGCAGACGCTCGCTACATACCTTTCTTCACATACATTTTAGTCAAAAGAGACAAAAGGAGTTCACAGTCCATTCAAGATGAAGGCATCTTTGATCACTGCATTCCTTCTCCCCCTTCTCGCCCTTGCGAGCCCGTATCTCCCAACAGACCCCCCAGCCAACATTGAAGTCACAGCACGACACCCAGGCCGAGAGCATGTCGACAAGCTGCCAATGCAGGCTGCCGGCCGGGCCTTCTGGCTAGGCGGCTCTCCAGCAACTTACTGCCCAGAAATCGTCGGTGATAACTGCCCACCAGGAAACGCTACCGTCATCCTTGGACTGAACAGCTTGGTAAGTTCTGATCTTTCACGAGCGAAGTTCCAATGCATTTCTCTCAATTGTCCTACTGACAATCAAATATAGAGCGTGCTTGTCCCCGGTGGCCAGCAGATGTACGTCGAGCCCAGCGGAAAGCTCGGCTTCACCCAGGCACACTCCGCAGCCATTCCGCCAGGATCATACGTCGGCGGCTTTACCTACAAGCCTCTCAACAAGAAATCCGGCAGCTTCTACTTCGGCGGCTGGGGTGCCACTGCGCTGATGGCTTGCCCTGTCCCAGACTCGAAGTACTACCAGGTTTTCGCCAACATCAAGAACGCCATGGTCCCAGGTGGAGACGTCAAGAAGTGTGTCGAGTTCGTTGGAGTTGCAAAGGAGTACAAGGGTACTACTCCTGGTGCCTGGCAGTATACTTAAACGTCCTGTCCAATTAATCTGGTGGTAATCTATTATTTGTTTGGACTTCTTTGACTCGAAGCAAAATTTCTTTCGGGTATCCATATTGTGTTGCTTCTCCTTCTGTTGCTGCCAGATGCAGGGCTGTTAGCTTGTACATATCTAATGAGACCACGACGCTTCTTCATCTCTTGATCTCGTCAGACTGTCTCTTGTTATCTTCCGATATCCCCCAATCCTCTTCGTCGTCGTCGTCGTCGTTGATAGGAAAGAGAGAGAAAAGCCGGAAGTTGTCCGTTTCCCTTTTGAGAAAAAGCCCAAAAACCGGGGGAGAATCACGTGCCTAAGAGATGAGTCAGCAAGGCCTGTGCTGAGCCTCGGCTTCTTTTTTTTGCTTCTGGAAAAGGCAAAAAGCGACGTCGAGAAAGAAAATGACGACGAACGAAGCTGATATTGCAAGAAACAGCAGATATCAGACACTGACATGAGTGCTAGGCATACATAAGCGGAGAGAAGATGTGTGAACAGCAGAGATCTCGGGTTCATGTCGCTCGATAGGGCGTGCAGCTGACGTTGTACAACCATGATGGATAAGCTTGTTGTGGCTGCGGGAGGGCTCCGAGCAAACCAAATTGACAATAAATGTCCGCAGGAAATCAGCTCTGCTACGCGATAATATCCCCGGATATAGGGCGAGAACATGAACCCCTTCTGGGCAGTCGGAAAAATCGGCCGAGATGGTCGTCTTAACGGTAACTTCGATGGTCTAGATGGAATGTGAACTTTGTAACTATGCCTCCAATAGCTGCCCCGGATTCCCGTTCTGACATAGTAAATCTAGTAGATGAGATATCTCGTCCGAGTTTTCTAGGTTGACTCTTCCCCTTTGGCCGTATTTCCTGGCCGTTCGGCGTCTGGTTCCGTGAAGGTGACTCGATGGCTATTACTGTGTCACCATAACACATAGCCAATGTCGGCTGGGTTCCGAGGGAAACTCAGTTAATAAGTCAACAAGTTACTGGCTATGCGGGCAAAAGTAGTGAGACTAACTGGAGCCTGTTCCCATACAGAAGCAAGACTCCAGTTTAACATGTGCCGCGGCTTTGGTGGCCGTTTGACGCTGTCGTGTATATATAAAGCCCTCCTATAGTCCTTCGGGCATCGCCCTTTTGTCTCCTCTGGACTTTGCTATAACATCAACCTCGATTCCGGCTGCTGTGATACAACCATATATACCATCTACAAAGTTGACGTCACGTTAGCACCAAAGCAAGATGACCTCGGTGGAAGCTCAGCTCAGGGGCGTTGCCATCCTCGGCCCCCTCAACGACCAGACTCGCAAGATCCTCACCAAGGAGGCTACAGCTTTCCTCGCCCTCCTCCATCGCACATTCAATGGCACCCGCAAGGCCCTGTTGAAGAGACGTATTGACCGCCAGGCCGAAATTGATAGAGGCGCTCTTCTCGATTTCCTGCCTGAGACTAAGCACATCCGCGACAATGATACATGGAAGGCTGCTCCCCCCGCTCCGGGACTTGTTGATCGTCGTGTTGAGATTACGGGCCCAACCGATAGGAAGATGGTTGTCAATGCTTTGAATGCCGATGTTTGGACCTACATGGCTGACTTTGAAGGTGAGCGGAGTTCCCCGAAGGCCCTATTGTTTACACAACTAGTTCTGACAAATCTGGATAACTAATGCATAATGTTACAGACTCATCTGCTCCAACATGGGAGAACATGGTAAATGGTCAGGTGAACCTTTACGATGCCATCCGCCGTCAGGTTGACTTCACCCTCGGCGGCAAGGAGTACAAACTCCGCACCGATAGGAAGCTCCCCACACTCATTGCTCGTGCCAGAGGCTGGCACCTTGATGAGAAGCATTTCACTGTTGACGGAGAGCCAATCTCCGGCAGTTTGTTTGACTTTGGTCTGTACTTCTTCCACAATGCCCAGGAGCTTGTCAAGCGAGGCGCTGGCCCATACTTCTACCTGCCCAAGATGGAATCTCACTTGGAAGCACGTCTGTGGAACGACGTCTTCAATACCGCTCAAGACTACATCGGTATGCCTCGAGGCACTATTCGAGGTACCGTCCTCATTGAAACCATCACTGCTGCCTTTGAGATGGACGAGATCATCTATGAATTGAGAGACCACAGCTCTGGCTTGAACTGTGGACGATGGGATTACATCTTCTCCTTCATTAAGAAGTTCCGTAACAACCCCAACTTTGTCCTTCCCGACCGCGCCTCCGTCACCATGACCGTACCTTTCATGGACGCATACGTCAGACTTTTGATTAAGACCTGCCACAAGCGAGGTGTCCACGCCATGGTAAGCTTGTGCCCATTCCCATCCATGCAAGATTTATATATACATTCGCTAATACCTCAATATAGGGTGGTATGGCTGCTCAAATACCTATCAAGAATGACACCAAGGCAAATGACATTGCCATGGAGAGCGTTCGTGCCGATAAGCTCCGTGAAGTCCGTGCTGGCCACGACGGAACCTGGGTTGCCCACCCAGCTCTTGCATCCATTGCATCCAACGTCTTTAACGAATACATGCCCACCCCTAACCAACTCTTTGTCCGACGAGAGGATGTCCACGTCACCGCCAATGATCTCTTGAACACCAACGTTCCAGGAAACATCACCGAGTCTGGTATCAGGAAGAACCTGAACATCGGCCTTTCTTACATGGAGGGATGGCTTCGTGGAGTCGGCTGTATCCCAATCAACTTCCTAATGGTTCGTCAAACATCTCAGTATTGTTAACGCAACCCATTACTAACCCGCTTCCATAGGAGGACGCTGCTACTGCTGAAGTTAGCCGAAGTCAGCTCTGGCAGTGGGCGAAGCACAATGTTCCCACCGCTGAGGGAAAGAGAGTTGACAAAGCATATGCACTCAAGCTGCTCAAGGAGCAAGCTGATGAACTTTCTGCCAAGGGTCCAAAAGGCAACAAGTACCAGCTCGCTGCCCGCTACTTCTCTGGTCAAGTTACCGGAGAGGACTATGCTGATTTCTTGACCACGTAAGTCCTCACTGTCAACATGTTATTCCATTCAAGCATTACTAACCCTTATCCATAGGCTGTTGTACAATGAGATTTCTGCTCCCGGGCCAGCTGTCAAGCTTTGATTTAATATAAGTGAAACAATATCTTTATTCCCTTTTAGAGACGGTATGGCATACGAAGCCGAATTTTTCCATGATATAAATAAACCCTGACATTTTGAAACGCGCTGTATGAAACGAGCAATTCTACTATTCTTTTTATCATGCATAACCTGAAGACCGCCTTGGAAATTCTAACATACTAAGTTTAGATATGGGATAGTAACCGTTTTTATATTGATGAATATCATCAGCAGCAATTAACATGGTAAAGAGGTAGATCAAAGCAGCATCAAAGACTTGGATGTAAATAACCAAGAACCAGCTATTTGGTATCCTTGGACAACTGCCCTTCACTCGAAGGACTTAAAACGTCATCTGCAACCGAGCTAGATGTCGGGTTTATATGATATATCCCTTCAGCATCCAATTCTGTCACCCTCCTAGGCGTTGACACATTATAAAATGGAGTGCTCGATGTAGCCTCCGTGAGGGCAAGAGTAGAAGGTGCGTAATATCCCATAACTGACCTCGAAGCCGTTTGCCTTGGTTCGCCGCTTCCATATGGTGCTTGCGTTTTGAACTCCATGCCATTATCCGCACCTCCTTCTGCAGTAGCTGCACGGGCAGCCTTTTCCTTTGCTCTTGACCGAAGTATCAACCATACAACTCCAATGACAACAGCTCCTACAATTGCAATAGCACCCACAACACCTCCAATGATAGCACTGACTTTTTTGGATGCCCCATTGCCGTCTTTGTCATTGGAGCTACTTGGGCCGGAAGGTTGGGCGCTACCGGATGATGTTACGGCAGAGTTCGTAGACGATGAGGTGATGGATTCAGATGTAGATGTGGAAGAGAGTCTCCTTGTAGTTGAACTGTCTTCTCCTGGAGGAGGGTCATAGTTTCGAACTTCATGTCCACCGCATTGCTTGAGTGTATACTCTATCGGACAGCACCCGGTATCGATGCAGTACGTATCTTGAGGACAGTAGCCTATGTCCAGGTTAGCTTATCCAGAGACACAATATCATAAACAGCAAAGATAGATGACTGTGGGTATAAAGTAAAGTAAGAAGAGAGTGAAATATGAGATCAAAATCAGAATCAAAGCAAAGTTACGTACTCCCGTCCATACAGCAAACCTCCCCTATATATGGATTGTAGCACCTGGTCTCGTTTACACAGGGAACGTTTCCCACTCCACAGGCTCTCTCGCAGTTCCTAGGCGGTGGAGTATAGGTACACTCCGTCGGAGGAGCTGACTTGGTCGTTGTCATTGTCACAGCCATTACACGCTGGTAGAGCATCTGGACTTTGATGTCTGCGGCCAGCACGGCCGGCAAAAGGGTGAGAGACGCCAATATCCGCATCTTTTGAGGATCAAGAGGTACGCAAGATCGATAGAAGGAAAAACAGCAGGTACGAAGAAAGGAGGGCTAGATGAAGGATGCAAAAATTGGGGGTTTGATTTGGTTGTGCTCTGCCTGTGTCCATTGTAGGCTGCATTCAGTGAATGCTGGCATCGCTCGATCAAGGCCGTCTTCGGCAATTTCCAGATACAAAGAAGTCGTCCTTTGATTCAAAAGAGAATATCAACTGTGTGCCTCCTCATGTGCCCCTGTAGCAAGATGGTCCACTTCTTCATTCCATTCCTTGAGCCAGATTCACTAGGTAGTCAGTTATCTTAGCCTCCCCCGTGGCCGCCGTCCCAGCATTAGGTAGTTGCAGTGGAGGGAACAGCCGAGCCCAATACCAGGTGGACTAGTTATTGGTTCCCGCATGAGTCGTCCTCTTTAAGGCTGGCTAAGCTTGCCCTCTGTGGTGTGTGTTTGCCTATGTCTCCCTAACATTGAACATTGCCGTATATCTGGTTGCCGAGTGACGTCAGGTTCCAAGGAGCTAATTAGTCATAGTCACGTGAAGGTGCCAGTTAGCTATGTATGCTTATCACTCTGCTGGACGACACTGCAAGTCTTCGATACACATTACTCCGACATATGGATGGTATACATCAATCCCGACGAGTGACACCTCCCCGGCCACTCTACCTAGGTAGTCTTGACGTCAGTGCCCACATCTGTAGCCTGGACAAGGTTCTCAAGAGTTATTGACAGCACACGACGGTATATGTTCTTTGGCAGCCTACCCGGCCTTTCAGAGCTGCGTCTCCATCCCTTGGTATTATACTGGGCTTAACCTACCTAGGCCGACCCCCTGTTAGATATTAGCTGGAGATTGACTCCATGGTGTCCAATTGACAGTCGGCTGGATGGTAGATAGGAGTGGTTTATGCTGATGTTCTTGAGATTAGAAGTTCTGGGAGGCATTCCCCCATGCCTATAATATGATACAATATAGAAGGACGTGGGTAGGACATAACTCCAAGCAGTATTAGTTCGGGATAAATAATTGAACAGCTGGCTCCAGGAGACAGGCCTCTTACTCTTTTTCTGTTGGACAAGCGACCGCAAGCGAGATTCGCGGGTCTGCCGGGGAAAACGGCCGGCCCTAGGAGCTGGCGGTTAGAGATAGATAGCCGGCGAGCGACTCAGGAGGCGGCATCCCTGCAGCAAAATTGTCCTACGTTAACCACCGAGATAACTAGATGCATCGGCGCCAACGCCAAAAGAGGGCAAAGCCGCTGTTCGAGAAGACCTGCGGAATCCAACATTTAGCGACTGGATGGATGGCCGGGCCGGGCGGGCAATATGCATCATCACACGTACATTGTGAGACGTGCATGCACATTCGTACATGAAACACAGGAAATGCGTGCATGCGTATAGCTAAGTACCGGCAGGGCCTGGTGGACGGAGCAGAGCATGCAAATAGGAAGACATCCACGGCTGCATCTCATCCTTGGGGGTTGTCGGCCTCGGCTACATGGCATTTGCATTCGCATGTACACTTAAGTACATAACGGACGGTGCATGGTATGGCCAGGGCTGCTGTTGGGACGGGATGATTGGGCGTATTACTTGTACCTCAACGGCCATGCATACGGGGTTGTTGCATGCGTACCAAGGCAGCGTGAGCAGGGGATCGGAAAAGTAACTGATTCCATTATCGTTGGATAAGAGTAAGGTAATAATAGCAGACATCAACGGGCTAAAAGCAGCCGTAATATAAACCACGTCAATAGGGAGGGACCAGGGGGGAAACCGCAAAGCAACAAAACGAGAGAAAAAGGAAAAGGGTATATCGAGAATATCTTGGGAGATATGTACAATGAACGCATTCAAGGATGATAACCGCCCCTGAACCAACACCCTCCGCCCCCGTCCCTGGGTTGCTGTCCAGACTAATTGCTGTCTGGCGCGAAAGTGTATACGCTATGATAAAAGGAGAAGCAAAGATAGAAGAAAAGGGAGCAAGGAGGGGGAGGAAAGCAAAGAAAGTAAGATGGCCGCTCTCTGAACGGGGACAAGGTGAAGAGAAGTTATATATGTATTGAATGTATCGAGGGAGAAAAGGTGGGGAGTTGGCATCAACCAGAGGCGAGTTTCCCATTGCTTCAAGCAAGTGTGAAATGAAAATATGCTTTTGAAATTGAAAATGAATGAGATATTAGAATACCATGTCGACAACTATAGTCGGCAAGGGGAGAGAGGGGATTGTGAGAGAGTGAGAGCGGTAGGGAGGTGCAAGAAAGCAATGGTGAGCTTCTGAGCGGGTGGTTATCACGTCTCGTCCGTGGGCTTTCGGGCATATACTATTGTTCCCGGTAGATATGCGTTTGTCTTATAGTCCCGGAGAGTGGTACGCATTTGGGCAAGGAAGAGCTGTGCTTCTTCGTACGGCCATCGTAAAGCTGTGGTGAGGAGCCGGAGCATGTATCCCTCCACACCACCGTGTAATCGCACTTGGTTCCAACGGCCAAGTTCCCGTAGTTTTGGATCTTTACTCCATCTGTTGGTGGTCGTTAGTATTATATTACTACGGTCAAAAAGGGAGGCCAGCCCGGGGGGGTGCATAGCGAAAGGGCAGGCAGTGAGACTAACCCATTCATAGGCCACTTGTATTCTACCTCGACGACGTCGACGAAACCAGCTCGTTTAAGACGCTCCTTGCTCTCCTTCCATATGGTGAAGGATTTGCCAAAGGTGGCGCCGGCTTCGACGACGGTCTTACCCCATAGGGTGTAAAAGTGCGAAGGCCCGACGGAGCCGTCGTCCGAGGTTGGTTCGACGGAGTGCTCGACCATCTCGATGTATCCGCCGGGCTTGAGGCACTGGTAGCACTGCTGAAAGAACTCATCCCAGTCCGGGATGCAGCCGAACATCTCCCGGACATGTATGAAGTCAAAGTGGTTCTGGGGGTATGTCCAGGGGCAGAGGGTGACATCATCTACTTCAAAGGTGCAGTTGGGAGGCAGAAAGCTGGGCTGGATGGGCGACAGGTCGACGCCGGTGACCTTTGCACTGGGATACTCGTCGGCTATATCTCTGCGGGCTGTCAGTACACACCACTCGCGGGGAACATACATCTAAGCGTAGAGGTAGACGATGAGATGTGGATTGATGACATACATGGCCCATATTCCGGTGCCAGTGCCAACGTCTAAGATCTCCTGCTCGGGGCGAAACAGATGGTTAGCATGGGGACGCTGATGCTGCAGTGCGACAGTCGGCCTCTGTCGCCGTCTGTCTGGGGGCCCTGCAGAGGAAAAAGCCCTGGTTCATTCTTAGGTGTTGGAAAAGGGTGGTTGGTTGGTTGGTTACCTGGGGGTTGGAGATGGGCGCAAGATGCAGCTTGCCGTCCAGGGTCAAGAGGTACATGTGGTGCGCGAGGTCCTGCTGGTCGTTTGCAATCTCATCGTTCGGTCCCTACCGTCTCTAAATATCAATATCTCGACCATCGAACTGGGGGAGGGAATACATTGGCAGGACGGGCTACCTACCCAGTAGGCTCCATCGCGATAGGAGTGGTACCGCCGGCCGTTCTCATAGCGATACCTGGTGATGTACGTCGACAGCGTCTTGGTATCGTCGCCCATCATCTCCCCATCGCCCGTCGAGTCGTCGTAGGCCTCGTCCAGCCCGTCGTCGCTGCTCGAGTCCGCGGCTTGCGGCGACGGCGCATCAGACGAGGCCGGCCGGCCATCATCCCCAGACGGCGCCTGTTGCTCCTGTTGCTGCTCCTGCTGCTGCTGCTGCTCGTCCCCTTCTTCCTCCTCTTCCTCCTCCTCCTCCGGTGGCTGCTGCTGGTGATGCTGATATGGCGGCTGGTAGTAGTAGCCCTGATGATGATGATGATGCTGCTGCTGCTGCTGCTGCTGCTGCTGCTGCTGCTGGTGATGTTGGTGATGCTGGGGATGCTGGGGATGCTGGCCCTGCGGCGGCTGTCTACTGCCGCCAAGCGGCTGCTGGTGATGCTGTGAATCCATCGCTCTGCTTCGTCTCCTTATCCCGCGCCCTCGACAGGCGGTTCTTCGTGCTGCGTCTGCGTCGTCCTGCTGCTTCAGACGACCATCGGGAGTAGCAAGAGAGGGTGGTGTCTATGTATCAAAGAAAGGCAGAGGAAGATCAAGGCGAGCCACCACTCGTAAGCCGGGCGCGTTTCTGGTTTTTTGTTTTGTTCCCCCCCCCCCCCCCTCTACCACCAGCCAGCGCGGAGGAGACGGCGGAAGAGACGAAAAATAAAAAAAAAAGGTTTGCAAAGAACAATGGAGGTTAGCCCTCGAATGTAAGAGGAGGATAAAGTAGCAGATGGCGATCCTTGTTTGCTGTGCGGCTGCTGCTGCTGCTGCTGATGCTGCGTCTCTCTGCGTCGTCCTCAGCGTCGTCCTCTCAGCATCGAACGAGATGGCTTGCTTGGTGGCCGTCGTTGAAGGGGAAATGCGAGATCGAAACGCTATGGTTTAGTCCAAAGCCAACCAAATCCACCAAGCCATGCAGGAAAAAAAAGGCCATCATCCTGGTCGATACCATCAGGTCCTAACACTAGGGCAAGCCGTGGATATCTCGGTGAAAGGCACTAGTATGACTCGATCCGCCTGGCGGCCAGTGGTGGCCAAATCGGAGATTCCTGAAGCATCCCCGAGGCCGGCTCTTACTGATCACGCAGGATTATTCCACCCCATATTTGCTGTCCAGCCAGGCTCGTGTTGATCGCCTCTCACCCCCCTCCCCAGTGGGAAGGCCTATCAGCATGGCCAGTGGCACAGCAGATTCCTTTTTCATGCGTCTTCTGCAGCCCTGAGTTATCCTTGTCCCCGTCAACTCTATTGCTGCCGTTTGGAAGGGGGGTGGGCAGATGTGGTCCGGTATGGCGGTTGTCGGTTTTGGTGATACGAAGGCAAAGAGAGAGGATATCAAGAACCGCCGACTTCCGCTCTCCCATTTTGCCTTCGAGGGAGGATTGCACAGCAGGCCAGCTGTTGCTTGCTGTGGCCCCCTTCCTCCCCAGCAGCAGCAGCAGCATCTCTGTCCTATATTGCCTTGTCTGAGCTGTCCGTCTATTACGGAGTATTGCAAAGCAGATCTAGGCTCCTGATAGACGGTCTTTTTGCTGGCTGTATAAGGTTTTTTTTTTGGGCCGGACAGGGCCCAAGTTCAAGGGTTGATCCTGAAGAATCAGAGCAAAGCCATAGTGCAGGTCTTAAGAAGATGGGATGATATCCACACGCTGGCGGTGCCCCTCGCTTCACTCGCCTGCCAGCGTGTTATTTTTCTTGCTTGGCCATAGGCTCACCAGGTTGGCGTCTCGCATGATGGCCTTTTGTTATTCGCTTCCTCAGGGGGGGAACCCATGGCTTAGGGTTCTCGTTCTTGTGCATGGCTTGCAAGAAAAATAATAATACGACCAACCGTATCCACACCCCTTCTCTTGCTGCCAATCTCCCTTCTTGATTTCTACTGCTTAGAGTTGCCTCACGTTCGTCATGGGCGGGAAGTAACACGGAAGCAGTCCCTTGGGAAGGGAATATCTCCACTCAGGGTGCCATGGGATTGGGATTCTGTTCCTCTGGCTTTGGGCGTTTTTTTAACCCTTTGGTTCTTCTTCCTGTTCCGTGATCTAGTTCTGTCAAACAAACACCCCAAGGGCGGTCTGATGTGCCTCAGAGATGGGAGAGTACTTGTCCGTTATGGAAGATAGGAATCTTCCCGTTGTCTCGGGGGCCTTCGCCACTGTTCTGATCATTGGAGCCGGTAAGGATGGAGCTCCTTCCTTTGTCTCGTACTATTGGGATATTGTATATGGTCCCCCCTCCATGACGCATAGTTTTATTGACATAGCTCCCTTGAATCTAGGTACCACAGGACTTGCACTAGCTCAAGGATTCAAGAAGGTGAGAAGAAGCCTCTTTCAGCCCGGACGGGTTTAGAACTGTGTCATTATTGACTCGATGCCAGGCCGGAATTGCATGCACCATATTTGAGAAGCACAAGAGCCTCAATGCATTACCGAGGGACTGGAATATGGGCCTCCATTGGGGCGCCGTAGCCCTACAGGGAGTCCTCAGCTGTGAACTATGGGACCAGATTGAGACTGTCCATGTCGACCCGAGCAAGCCGGTACCGGAAAAGGACGTGCTGAAATTCATCAACTCCAGCAACGGCGAGCTCATGTCAGAAGTGCATGTCTCCAAGTTCTACCGCCTACGTCGTAGCAAGCTGCGGTCCTTGCTCGACGACGACCTGGATATCCGGTACAACAAGGCTCTCAAGGACATAACGATGTCGAGGGACGGCCGGACGGCCACGGTTCACTTTGAAGACGGCACCTCTTCCACCGGCCAGTTCGTCATTGCTGCTGACGGGGCCCGTTCAACCGCCCGCCAGCTCCTGCTCGGCAAGAAAAGGGGCGCCATACGGCGTCTGCCATACGCAGCAACTTTTGTGCATGCCAGATTCACGGCCGAGCAGGCCCTGTATCTCCGCAGCTTTCATCCTCTCTATATCGCCGGCATCCATCCGTCGGGGTACTTCTCGTTTTTCGGCATGCACGACGCTGAGGACCCAGACAGGCCCGAGACATGGACGTTCTTCTTCTATATCTCGTGGAAATACAGCCTGGAAGAACAAGACCGGACCTCTTCCTGGTCCAACAAGCAGCGTCTCGACCAGGTCAAGTCCTTTGCCAAAGACTTCTGCGATCCCTGGAAGAGCGCGTTTGAATGGATACCCGACGACCACCAGGCGTGGTACATGGGCCTGACGGACTTCGACCCAGGCTCAGACGGCCATTACTGGAACAACCACGGAGGCAGAGTGACGCTCGCTGGCGATGCTGCTCATGCCATGACATACCAGCGCGGCCAGGGGCTCAACCACTCCGTCACCGACGCTGCGAAGCTTGTAAATGCCGTCACGGATGCGGTATCCGGCCTCTCGTCTCAGGCTACCTCGATATCAGCGTACGAGGACGAGATGATTGCCAGAGCCGGAACTGAGGTCAGGCTGTCGACTGTCAATACCGAGATGCTGCATGACTGGGAGCGGGTGCTCGCGTCTCCAGTGCTGACCTCGGGGATGAAACATAAACACTGATGAAGTCATGAAGAGAAGATTATGAAACCCGGCGGATATCTCCCTTTGTTTTTTTGCTTGATGCATGTCATGTTTTGGCGGTTTATCTGTACTAATTTTGGTCTTTGGGCTGGCGTTGTGATCTTCTTGTGATATCTTCTTGCTGATATATTTTGTTTCTTATATATGCCTGCTTGGCCCCTTGACTTCGCCCTTCTACCCTTCTACCCTTCTACCCTTCTACCCTTCTACCCCTTTGCCTGTACACATTCTTTTACCCCTTGTTTACTATTTTGATGCCCTCCATGTTTATACGTCTTAGATGAAATGCCGCTGCAGCCTTGCGCTCCCCTCTATATACGCCGAAATCAAGATACTGACTTCAAAGAATTAAACGGTTTATATATTCAGCGTACATAACAAGTCCAACATCAAATGCCAACTATGGAAGAACAATCCTGTGTATAAAGAAAGAGAAGCTGTATGACATAATATATGCACCCAATGAAAGAAGAGAACAAAGAAGACACACAGGGATGCATCGCAATATGAGTTCTGTGTACAATATTGCCGATTTGCAAAAGAATGTCAAGTCTAGTTGGTAACCATCCAGCAAGCCCCATCTAATGCATCTAGTGCTTTTTCACAGCTTCCTCTGCCTTGTGAACTGCAGCTTTGGCAGAGTCTGTGGCTTCATGGGCCAGGTCCTTGACAGCTTCCTTAGCCGAGCCGTCCTGGGACCGTCTATACAGGAAGATACGGGTAACTTGTGTGAAACCAACGCAACCAACGAAGAAGTTGACGGTAGCAAGGCTGCATTTCAACATATCAGCAATTTACCTTAGCAACAGGAGGCTTAAAGGAAAACACTTACAGGACGTTTCTAGGCTTGATGATAAGACACCATCTGGTCCAGATTGCTCCGGTTGCCATCAAGGCAGCGTTTTGAGTCAGGGAGAGCTTCTCGGCAGGCCGGGCCATGTCAGAGAGACCAGCTAGAACGAGAATCCACTGCAAAGGGATCCACTGGTTAGCATCAACTGCGGCCGTTTGTTTTCGGTATTATATCTCATGTTCGGGCTTAAGCAATGCGACTATTCAAGGAACGAACCTTCATCACAGGTGCCCTATAGGGAAAAAAGAACAACTTCAATTAGCGAATTGGTCCATGTGCGTGAATATGCATATCTGCATTCAATGGCATGGCTCACCAGAAATGGACGGTCTTGATGCCAATGGGGCTGTTCCATGACCGCTGCAGGAAGCTCTGCTGGGCCGCAGCGGCGTCGGTGCTCTGGAATCGTCGGGCCCGGAGAGCCTGCGCCCTGAGGCGAGCAGTGGCATTCTGAAAGGCAGCCCTGGAGTTCTGGAAGAGACGCAGCCCGATCTTCGACGACATGTTGGCGGTAGCTGTAGTGTATCGACTAGACGGAGAGAACCGAGAGACAAACGGCCTTTGATCCTAGAGAAACAAGATATAATACACAGCCGAAAGGAAAGAAAGAAAAGGTCAGACCCAAATTCCAGGTCCAAGTCCAAGTCCTCGCCGTCGTTCTTCGTCTTCGTCTTCGTCTTCCTCGTCGTCTTTTCTTGCAGCTCAACAACTCCGCGATCTTTCTTTCTTCCTCCGGTTTCCGCAGGCTATTTGATGATGTAAGAACTGAGTAATTAAGTCACGTGTAGTCTTATATAAGCATAGACTTTTGGACGTCAAACATCGAAAACGAAGCAGCAAAACGACGGCGACGGCAAGCTGATACGCTCAATTGAGGCGTCGACACACTCTGTTTGCGACGAACCGGGACCTTGCGAACGAGCGGAGGGACTGTCTGTTTAGCTGCCACCATGGCCTCGCGATACGCCTTCAACACCGGGCTCAAGGAACTCCGGTTCCTGTTCTGCCACTCCTCCGCACACGGCGATGCCACCAGGTAAGAAATGCCTTGTGTTCACAGTCATTGAAGGGGTTTGGCAATGGAAGACCAGTCTGCTGATAGGTTTATGTGCTCCCAGAGCGTTCCTTAAACGGGCATACCCCACCATGAAGAAGAACAACCCATCCGTACCGATATTGATACGGGAAGCCCTTGATGTTGAGCCACGGGTATTTGCCAGATACGGTACGTCTCATGTCTGGAGTGATATGTAAGAGGAAGCTAATAGTGGTTAGAATTTGGGAAGGAGAAGCAAGAGACTCTCTTGGGTATGTTGATATAATCCTACTCTGCGTGGAGGGAGGGTTGAACTAACCGTACAATAGGTTTGAGCGATAAGGAAATAGAGCAGAAAGTGACTGTCCTTGTGAAGGATGGCCTACCTCAACAGTCGTGATTGTACAACTATTCTCTTACGAACCGAAACTGTTTTTTCTTTCTTGAACAAATGTACCTATACCAGGAATAGATATGGAATAATACGGTATTCCGATATATTTGCATATACTAGGATACTCAATTAGGTGGTGTTTAACTCAGAGATGATCAAGCTGGCATGAAACTTGTCGAAAAAAGTTGGCTGCGAATATCGGAAATATCAATGGCATTTAATTTACTTCCCTATCCCTACCTCTTGCTCAAAGCTATTTAACTTCATCTAGGCAGCGCTCGCAGAGGGAAACCAAACGACCAAAAAGAAGGTATGGATATGAATAGACAACACGACAGATCATCACGTTTATACCAAGGGTCATGAAAACAAAGCAAAGAGAACAAAACAGACACAGGGAAAACGCAGAGGTGTATAAGGTGTTATGTGCAAGAAAAGTAAGATTGAAAGGATTAATCCCCACCAGGGGGTGGTGGGTGGAACCAACATTAAGACGAGCAGACGGGCATGCGAGGTAGTTAAGAAAAACGAGACATTGCGAGATGCTCAAATCAAGGGAATTCATCCAAGACATGCAAGGCAAGACGAGTCTAGGAGAAACAGTGCAAAACATGGGTGCATGCAAAGGGATATCTCGAGCGGCGTAAAGTAAAGAGAATACAAGCATAAAAAAAAGAAAGAAAAAAGAAAAAGAATAAGAATTACATTACAATGCAGTCACCTTCGTTTTTGTTGACGGCCGATCTAGATACGCGGGTCTTTTGCATTCTTGCGCCGCCTCGTCGAAGATCTTCCAGTCGTTCTCTGGCTTTCATGAAATTTTGCGCTGTATGTCGTTAGCAGTACATTCTTCTGCAAGGGGCTAACGAATAAATAGGTATGAAAGGGCGAAGACTTACATGATGCTTTCCAGTACCATCTCTTCGCATCGTCCAGGTTCGCGGGAACACCAATGCCGACCTCAGTGAAGTAGCCCATCGCATACTCCGCCTTCGCCAGGCCTGCCATAGCAGCTTTACGAGCCCACAGGTACGCCTCCGTGTCGCTCTGCTGCAATATCCCCTCGGCACCAGTCAAATACCAGCCGCTAAGGGAGAGTTCGCTCTGGTGCTCGCCTTGCGCCGCTGCCTGTGTGTACCAGTATATACTCTGTCTCGGATCAACGGGACATCCGACGAGTCCGTACTCGTACGCTGCGCCCAGACGGTGCTGGGAGAATTTATAACCCAGTTCACCTGCCTGATGGAGCAGTTCGCGAGCATAGTTCTCGTCGCGGATGATGGAGTCAATGCCCTGAGGGTTTTCGTACAGCAGGGCCAGCTCATGAAGGGCATGCGGGTTATCTTCGTCTGCTCGCTCGGCGGCACGTTTAAGCCACGAGAGCGCTTCGCGGGGATTCTTGGGCTGGCCCAACAGCCCCTTGAGCAAGATCATGCCCATCTTGTACATTGCGGGAGGGTCGCCTAGGGCTGCAGCACGTCGGTACCATTGGACTGCCTTCATGGGGTCGCGGCGGGTTCCTCCACCACCTTCCTGGCCCATTTCGCAGCACACGGCGAGACGGTAGGCGGATTCGGCATGGCCCATCTTAGCGGCGGATTGGTATAAGTTAAAGGCCTCCTTTGGGTTGACTTCTAGACCCAGTTGGCCAGAGCCGTAGCAGTCGGCCATGTAGAACATTGCGGGTGGGTATCCTGCGCTAACAAGCTTTTTGGCAGTCTTGTAGGCGTCCATGACGTATCGTTCGCGGTTTTTGGCCTTGGTCTTTGGGTCTGCGCGGCCATTGTCATCGATCAGATGAACTGAAGCCTCGACGAGCTTCTTGACCAGGAGAAGCTGCTTGGCGTGGTCTCCTGGGCTGCTTCGTGCAGCTTGCTGGATTGCGTGGAGCTCTCCGAGGGTTATTGGCTGGGACTGGCGGCGCGTATCTCCGCCGTAGGATGTAGTAGGGCCTTGGCCGGGCTGTGAGGTAGGTGCTGGCTGCGGAGTGCTAGTATACTGCCTTACGGGGGCAGGTTTGGGTCCCTGGTCAAGGCCTGGGCGGAAGGGAGCGGGAGGAGCGTGGTGAGGGTGGTTATCTGGTCCCTGTCCCTGATAGCCGCCGTAATGGTCATCGCCATAGCCCATATCCTGAGGCGGATATACCTGTCTACCGTCGTATGGGCCTCTTCCACCATCATTCTCATGTGGAGGAGGTCCATATTGACGGTACTGCTGGTGCGGAGGTTGCGGAGGATATCCTCCTCTACCACCACCAGGGCCACCACCACCGTAGCCGCCGCGTTGGACGGGAGTCATGGCTCGAGCATCCGGTCTTCCATAGTATCCATTGCCCGGATGACCGCCGTAGCCCTGGTGGCCGTATGCTGGAGATTGAGATCGTTCATGCATCAAATGTCCCGGAATGCCGTTTGGAGGACCGTGTCTTTCAGGAGAAGAGTGCATACTTCCTCCCGATGGCTTGTAGGGAGCATATGCAGGCTTTGGTCCTGCCGAAGACGATGATGACGACATGGGAGGATTAGGCTTCTCGAACGGTATCAGCGTCTCTGCATGCGGCGAGGAAACGTTGTCGTCAGGCATTGCGCCGAAGTTGGGCATGTCGGGTTCAGTTTCGGGCCCTGCGTTGTCATAATAGTCATTGAGCAGATCCTCATTTAAGTAGTTGAGCTCATCTTCCACACCACCTTCAACTTTGTCGGCAACGTGAGGTTCGAGGTCGGCGGCGGCGTGCTTCGGGTGGACTACCTCCGGTTTGACACCAGCAGCAGTACCCGGTCTGGATGAAACCGGGTGTGTATCGGGGAGACGATGTGGTTGCTGTAGGGCAGGGCTCAGCGGCGGGGGGCTAAGGCTAATGCCGGGGTCCTGCCAGGTGCGCTTGCCAGGGTAAAGGGGTTTCTGCTGCGTCCCAGATGCTGCTGCTGGCGGCGGTGGTGGAGGTGTCGGTGCTGATGTTGGTGCCGCTGACATTGGGTTAGACATGGTGACAGGCATGGTAGCGCTTCGAACAGGCGGAGCACTTCGCGGATCCTGCCGGGGAGCAGCGGCCTGATTCGTTTCAACAGTCAGAGGAGCTACAGCTTTGCGCTGGACAGGCTGACTTCCACTCCCACTCCCACTTGGCGGCTGACGGGGGTTCATCGTTGGCAGCGGTTCAGAGTGGTACGTCGAGGGCGGCGGACGGTTGGAGTTTGAGGTATGCGGTCTTGCAATCTTCGGTTCTGCGTGATTTTGGGACTTATTATTGAGCTCGACAGCGCTCATCTTCTTCTGCAGCCCGTTCATGGAGTTGCCGCGCTTCTTGGGAGGGAATGCAGGGAACGGGTTGTCAAAGGAGCTCTTCAGCTCTGGAGACTTTTGGGGCGCTACAGACCGCAGTTAGCACTGTACTATTGCATCCCATATAAAGAAAGGAGCAGACCTACCGTGACGGGGAGGAGGCTTGTTCTGCGGCCTTGCTGGTCCAGGAGGTGGCTGGTGGTGTCCGTTGGGAGGCGGCGGTCCTCTATAGCCCTGCGAGGGAGCAGCAACAGCAGCAGCAGGAGGAGGAGGATGTCTGCTGCCGCCGGGAGCCATATGATGGCCGTCATCATACATGGGCCGGCCACCACCACGCGCATAGGGATCCCGCTGGCCGCCCGAGTAGCCGTCGTCGTAGCTCATCTGCCGGCGCTCGGGGCCAGGACCAGGCGGACCGCCGTAGGGAGGCCATCTGTCTGGCTGCTGGTGGTAGTCGTAGTACTGTTGCTGTTGTTGCTGTTGCTGCAGCGGTGGAAGCCTGTTGCCGCCGTACTGCGGCCCTCCCGGTCCTGGCGGCGGCCCACGACGGGGCGGCGGACGAGCCTGGTGGTATGCCATAACCGTCAACAGTCGTCCAACTAGCTGCTCCTCTTGATTCTGATAGTTAACCAGCTAGTCGGCTGGGCTAGTGAGAATCGCCAGCCCGTCCCTTCTTGGTGGTTCCAATGCGGCTCCTTCAGCGTCTTATCGCGATCCCCGATCTCGATCGTCGACTTAACTAGCGGGACGAGGAGGAGGTTATAGCAGTGGTGATAGCGCTCTCAACAGCGATGCGCCGGCCCCGCCAGGAGGACTCTCTCGACGGCGAGTCAGACAGCAGGTATATATCACCCGATCAGCATCTGCAGGCCGTATTATTTATGCGTGCTGGCAGCGCGTTGACAGTAGTTCTAAATATATCGAGGGAGTCGGAGGAGGCGGACGAGAGCAAAAGGGGAGCAAACGGCGAAATGCAGGCGATCGATAGTGCGAAGCGCCGAGCGGGCTGTTAATATAATTAAACTACCAGGTGTCAGGCCAGTCGAAGGCGACAGGGGGATGCCTCTGCTGATATTAATATGCGGATGACGATGCTGATGCTGTCAAAGACGCTGGTCGAGGAAGAAGCAAAAGCGACCACGCGACAACCCCGGCCAGCTAACCGCCGGACTCTCTTCTGGTTCCTCCCAAGTTGTTCGTGCAGTGACTGGAGCGGAGCCTGCCGTCGTCTTGCTGGACCAGCCTGGCGTTGGAGTTGATCAGAGATGCTGTCGATGCTGGGTGTTGTAGTTATATAGATGGAGATGGAGATGAAGTGGATGGAGATGGCTATAGCTAAGCTGTTAAAAGTCCACTTGGAGGCTTCGCTAAGGCGCATCCGACACAGGAGGCGACCTTTTTTTTTTGCTTCTTCGGGGCTTCTTGTGTTTGAGGCTGCGCGCTTGAAGCCCGTCGGCTGCTGATCTGTTTAGCTGCTCTGTTGGGCCGGCGAGTCACAGCATGGAAGACGGGCAGTCAGTCATACAGAGATATAAGACTGCCTGCGGTGCGACGGGAGCCCCTGGGAAAAGAGACCTTTTTGACTCTTGACTCTTGACTCTGTCTCGCTGTACCACCAACGGCGCGAACGAGAGTCCAGGGCTTCTTCTTTCTTCTTCTTCTGCTCTTGAGCTGCCTGTGATAGGCTCGCTTGTAGGCTTTCGACCTGCCAGGCACCGCTGGGGCTTTGCTCGTATCGCCCTCGGCTGCCCCTGACAGACCCCCCGGCCAGCAGCCAACGAGCCAACAGTTAACGGCGAACGCGATACGAACGGCTGTTCTGGCCTGGCTGGTCTTTGGGAAGCGGAGACGCTTATGATTTACAGAGTATTACAAGCAGGATTTATTGTGAGTGCAGTGTAAAGCAGTGGATTGATAGACGGCTATATACAAGGCATACCAATGCAAGTCCAGTAAGTTGATAATGGATAATTCCCATTGATCCCACCGAGCATCATTGATAAATATTTGGATCTCCCCCTTGTATTCGGTGGTTGACGCCGAGAGCCCAAAAAGATATACCAGCCCGTCCATCTACCTTGGTTAGCGACGTGGTCTTCGCTTTCTCTTTGATATATATTCCGTAACTCTTAAGCCCTTGGTGATAACTTCATCCTGCCCATCACCATTTGACAAATCCTATTTTGATGGGCCTTTATTGTAAACCACCGCGATGCTTCGGGTGGTGAGATTGCGATAACAATATATCCCCTATCCATCTATAATAGACCACACAGCAACTCCCGCTCCTTTGTGAACTAGCAAGCAACAGCGGCGGCGGCTAGCTAGGCTGTTGCAGCTGCAGCCGCCAGCTTGACCATCCAGGTCACTGTATAAATAAAGAGTTACCCGGTGTACAGAGTGCCCCAGCAATACCTTGGTCAGACATTAATCAGTCCTCCCATCATTCTGTCGACGTTAACTGGTTGCTCTGCATGTATCTGGGGATCCACGACAGGTATCACACCGGAATGGACAGGGGATCTCATCATAAGCACGAGCAGCAGCTAAGCACCACCACCTGTGGTAGTGGTGATAGTGTCATTGAAAGTAGGCATGCCAGCCTCACCGTCGTATAAGGCAATGTAAATATAACAGGGCGCTAGGGTATAACTCCTTCGGTCTCCTCAATAGCAACACGGACCATCGTATCTGTGCTCTTTTAACCAGCCTGTAGACTAAACGCCGTCATCTCGCTTGTCCATTGCCATGAACTCAGAAGTATACCACTCGAGCGCCTGTCCTCTCAGACGTGGCTTGGACATTGATGCGGGAGGTACGTCTTTGAGCGAGCCAAAACTCACGGGATGGGCTGTCAGAGATCGCCGCAGCAGTGATCTCATAGACCTGCTCAAACCATTCTTTACCAGGCCAACATAGATCAAGGAGTAAGTGACTGCTGGATAGTGATATCACGACCCTTTTGCGGCTGTATATGCCCGTGTATGCGAATATTAGGTGCGTCTTTGTCGAACTAGACAGGCCCTCCACGGCACTAGAAGAGCGGCCCCTAGAAGCAGAGCAGATAAAGCAAAAGACGCCTGTTGAGTTGATGGACTCTGACTGGATCGCCAAAATAGGGTGTTTGGCCCCTTTTCCAAGGCAAAAGAGTTGCCATAACTATCCCGCACACCGAAAGGTGATACTTAGTAAACCGAGATTGCTTCCCCAGGACCTCACCTTCAACGCCGCAGCCAGGCCAGGTAACTTGTCCCAGCAATGGATGACCATCTGGGTCGAATAAATCTGCGACCATGTATCGACCCAGGGATGGCCCATCGAAATGCTCACATAGATGCGTAGGTCAGTAAAGGGATCCCACCCCAGGCAGAGTAGCCAGAAACAAAGCATCAACCCAGTGGTATTTCCTTTCCGATAGATTGTAAAAGCAGATGCCGAGCGGACGGAGATAGCCTTAATTCTGTCAATAGAGTCGTCTCCTCCAGGAAGCTCTAACACACAACTCCTCCAGCAGAAGGGACAAGCTGCTAATAAACCAAGCGGTAATAGGCGATGCTAGAGTCTAGTTGATATATTATGCAAGAGACAGACACACCCCTGCTAACATCCAACAGAGGACTCTTTATCCTGTAAACCAGTGGTATCTTATAAAGCTGAAGCCCAGTCGATATATTGCGCCAGAAACAGACGCACCCCACTAGCTAACATCCAACAGAGGACCCCCACCCCATGTAGTGTGGGTGGGGAAGCCAGCGGGCTCTAGATATCTAGAGAATGACTGTGTATACTGTGTATATCGTGAATTTCCGAGGCCGCCGTCCAAGACAGAGGCAAAAGACAGCAGCTATTAGTATATTCCTCATGAGTAACGGCGGAAAGTACCGTAGGAAGATAGGCTGCACCAACCCCCTAATATATATACGGGGGGGCACACTTATGTCGCTTGTTCCATATTTAAGTACCGCAGTATAGCTAGACAAGCTAAAAATCTGGCGCACCACCCAGCTCTCACGAGAGGCTGAAGTCCTGCCTATCTCAAAATAAAGAGCTCCACATCTCTTTTGCGGTTTCAGCAGTTGAAGGAGAAAAAGACAGCAGCAAAGAGCTGGTATGAGCCAGTCAGGGACAGGATTGAGAGTAAGCTCCTGGTAAAGGCAGTCTATCCGCTAAATGAATTGTTGTCGTCCTTGTGGTTTGAGTGGTCGAGGAAGAGTAAGCAGGACGGAGTCAGCTGGAGCAAGCCAGGGAGATAATGTGAGAGTGAGTTCTGCTGTTCATCCCCCAGAGATATAAAAGTCTCCTTTATCTCTCCTTGATCCGGTACTCGAGGAGGAGTAAGTAGAAGAGTGCCAGTCTGATAGCTATTTATCCGAGAGTATCAGCTGAAGAGAGCCGTGGTGTCATAGAATATGAGAGCAAATTCTCTGTCGAAGCCTCTATCTGCTAGATATAGGTAGGTATCTCCATGCAGTTTTGTCCTGAGAGAAGGGCATGCAGTATGCAGAAGACTGATGGTCTCTCTGGGATAGAAAGAACAAAGTACGAGGCAGTTCTGTCTCTATATAAGATAGCGAGGTAGGTAAAAGAAATAAAGACGGGTGGTTGTAGGCATGGTATTGGTGATTAAGGATGAAGTATAGCGTATAATTCTATTAAGGTCGGCATATCCACCAGGACGGAGGAGTTGAAAGACAGTAAGAAGGTAGTTGGATAGAGAGGGAAGATGAGGAGGAATGCTGATAGAGAAATAAAAGAAGAAGAAGAAGAGAAAGTCCGAGAGAACGGAAAGATGGGGGTTTATATAGACCTCCTGGGGGGTCTCCTTCACTGTCTCCAGACTCTCCTTGCTGTCTTTAGTGACTCTTCCCTGCTTCACCGTCTTCTTCACTGTCACCATCTCTGTCTTCACGCTCTCTATTACCGCGCATATCTGTCTTCACAGTGTCTCCTCACGGTGTCTCTTCACGGTGTCTCTTCACGGGTATCCCTTCACAATCTCTGTCTTCACACATTCTCTCGCTGGGTATTTCTACCTTCACTATCTTGATCTTCACCCTTCTTTTTTACCTTCTTTAGTCACTATCCTGTCTTCACGTCTTCACCCTCGCTGTCTCTATCTTCTCTTCTCTTCTGTCCCTTCACTGTCTTTCATGTCTTTTCTCCGTCTTTACTTTTTAACTTTTAACTCTAACTTTAAACTATCTGCTTACTCATCTCTTACTCATCAAACTCATCACGTGCATTTAATGAAAGGAGCATCGCCAAGACCTGCTTACGTACTCCAATAGAAGGCAGAAACGAAGCAAAAGAAGCAAAAAAAAAAAGGGAAAAGACGACGAAAGAACGAACAAGCAAACGAAAAGACAGCGAAGGAAGAAGACGACAAACAACGACGACGAAGAGAAGAAGAAGAAGAAGCGAAGACGAAGAGACAAGACGAAGAAGAAGAAAAAGGCCGTCCTGCTATCTGCGAGCGTCCTCTCTGCACCGCCAGCTCCGCCTCGACTTGCGCGCCCTCGTCCTCGCCACTCCCCGTCGCTGCCAGCGCTCCCAGCAACTCCCAGACTAGCGTTCAAAGCCAGCCCGTCCGTCCCTGGTCGCAGATAGAGAGTTACATCTTCTGCGTCTTCTCTCTTCCAGCACTACATAACCGTCGCAAGCTCTCCCTCTCTCTCTCCCTGTCTGCCGTATCTTCCGCCGTCTGTCTCTCTGTCTCACATACACCACCGCCATGGCCGACCGCGAGCAGCCCTACGACCCTTACATTCCCTCACAGTCGAAGCCCGGCCAGGATGGGCCGACCTCAGGCAACCAGCGGACAGCAGCGCTGCAGGCCGTACGTCAGACCCTTGCTTGGACCATATACGGCTGCTATCCGCCGATAATGGAATAGAAAATAATGGGACAAACGTGCTGACGAAGTAATAGCAAATCGATGATACCGTCGATGTGATGCGGGAGAACATCAACAAGGTCTCGCAGCGAGGCGAGCACCTGGACTCCCTGCAGGACAAGACAGACAACCTCGCCGTCTCTGCTCAGGGCTTCCGTCGGGGAGCCAACCGCGTCCGGAAGCAGATGTGGTGGAAGGACGTCAAGATGCGCATATGGCTCATCATCGGCATCATCGTCCTGCTCATCGTCATCATAGTCCCAGCCGGTGCGTCTCTCATTTCACCATCTTCATTTCTTAACAACCGCATGCTAACCTCCTGTAGTCGTCGCATCAAAGCATGTCAAGTGATTCTATACGTCCATATACCACCTAATCCAGCTGCCTTCGCCAATACCCTTACCATCGAACAAGCGAAGGTTCTCTCCCTCGTCCACCTCATGAATCTCCTATCTAGCACTGCCTTTCCCCCCAACTATGCGAAATCCATGACCGTGTGTGTGTATTCTGATAACTGATTGTGATTGTGATACTGATGCCTGGCCTACTCGGATGACCACGAGTTTTCCCCGATGACCTTTTTTTATTATTTCCTTTTTGTGTCCTGATTTCCTTTGTCTATTGTGATTCTGTTTTAATACCATGACTCTTTGAACTCCCGCCGATGCCAACGAACCATCTCAACTGGAGTCGCTCTGCTTTAGGGACGGGAACCAAGGGGTAATAGAGGGTTTCTTCTTTTCCTTTCTCTTTCTTTTTGGCCAACGAAATTCCCGTAATGTGTTACAATAGCGACTATTATAATGGCTGCGTGTTCTCCCTAGCCACTCCTCTTCTCTCTCGTCTTGTGCTTCTCGTCTTATGCTCTTCGTCTTATGCTTCCTGTCTTCCCTTCTCTGTACGTAGTCTTGCTTCGTTGATACTGCATGTCCTATGAAAGCTGCATCCCTAGGAAAAGCAACATTAGCAGTGGGTCGACCAGGGTGAGCAGACAGCCTTGAACCATGATAGTAGAGAACAGCTACTCCGTCGTACTACTAAATAAATACTAGTAGCAAGCGAAAGCTGCAGCGATGTGCCGTGCAGCCTGTTTATGTCTATTATTATGCGGCCGGCGCAGCTGAGCTGAGAGCCGAGATCGGCTGGCTTTTTTTGGTGAAGAAGCTAGCATTGAAAAAGAAAAAAAGGTCCACCTTCGCTTTTCTTGCCAGTGAGTAATAAATCAGACCGACGAAGACGACGACGACGAAGACAGACGACCAACCGCGCTTTTGCTCTCTCGCTCCAGCAGACGAAGAGACGAGACGCCGAACGAGAAGACCAGATTGACCGTCCAGCACTGCTCCGCCGCCCATGTCGAGCCATCTTGCGCGGAGGGCCGCGGGCCGCCTGGCAGCTCGCTCCACCGGGCTGGGGGGTCCTGGTCGACTGACAGCAGCAGCTTCACCAGCTTCGTGGACAGCATTGCCGCTGAGATATGGCTCTGCTGCATACAGACAGAGACGCAGCTACACCTCGTCTCGCTACCAGCCGCACCTCTCGACCCGCTCGACCGTCGTCCAGCTGCTCAGCAACATCGGCTCCAAGCGTGAGGTCCAGCAGTACCTCTCCCACTTCACCTCCGTCTCCTCGCAGCAGTTCGCAGTCATCAAGGTCGGCGGCGCCATCATAACAGAACACCTGCAGACCCTCTCCTCGGCCCTTGCTTTCCTCAACCATGTCGGCCTATACCCGATCGTGGTGCACGGGGCCGGACCCCAGCTGAACAAGATGCTGGAGGACGCCGGCGTGGAACCGCATTTTGAAGACGGCATTCGAGTCACGGACGGCAAGACGCTGGCGTTGGCCAGGTCGCTTTTCATGGAAGAGAACCTCAAACTGGTCGAGGAGCTGGAGCGGCTGGGCGTCAGAGCCAGGCCATTGACCACAGGCGTCTTCTCGGCAGACTACCTGGATAAAGACAAGTACAACCTTGTCGGCAAGATCAATGGGGTCAACAAGAAGCCCATTGAGGCCGCAATTGAGGCTGGATGCTTGCCTATCCTCACCTCCATGGCCGAGACACCAGAGGGTCAGGTGCTTAACGTCAATGCGGATGTTGCTGCCGGTGAACTTGCGAGGGAACTCCAGCCGCTGAAAATCGTATACCTGGCTGAGAAGGGCGGGTTGTTCAATGGAGATACAGGCGAGAAGATCTCGGCTATCAATCTGGATGAAGAGTATGACCATCTCATGAAGCAATGGTGGGTTCGGCACGGAACACGCCTTAAGATCAAGGAGATGAAGGAACTGCTTATGGATCTGCCCCGGACCTCCAGCGTGGCCATCATACACCCTGCGGACCTGCAGAAGGAGCTGTTCACTGATACCGGTGCCGGAACCCTGATCAGACGGGGCAACAAGGTCCAGACCAGGAACAGCATCGAGGAGTTCGAGGATGTCGAGGCCCTAAAGAACGCTCTTGTGCGTGATCAGGAGGCGTTGGATGCCAGGGCTACTGTGGACAGATACGTTGACTCACTCAGGGGCAAGGAGATTAAGGCCTACTCGGACGAGCCCCTGGAGGCTCTGGCTATTGTACTGCCTCCCAAACCGGGCTCGACGCTCGCTCACCTGGCTACCATGTCCATCACCAAGACCGGCTGGCTGACTCATGTTGCCGATAACGTCTTCACCAGTATCCAAAAGGACTTCCCCAAGCTTACCTGGACCGTCAAGGAAGACGACGAGAACCTCTCCTGGTTCTTCGACAAGGCCGATGGCAGCCTATGTAGGGATGGCGAAGTGCTTTTCTGGTCCGGCGTCAAAGAGGCAGACGAAGTCAAGGACCTTGTCGTCGAATTCAGCAAGAATAGCCGTGACATGCTCGGCAACCTCAGCATGGAATCCCCCCTGAATAGCAGCGCGACTGGTGGCAGCAATCCCTCTGCAGCCGTTCAGCAGAAACGAGCATTCTCAACAGCCACCACCGCTTCTACTCTGCGATCCCTCAGACAGCAGCAACAATATACCCGTCCCGGCTTCTCCCGTTCATACACCACCCAGACCAACCCAAACCCTCCCCTGGGCAAAAAAAACGCATCCAACACTAAACCCTCCAAGGTCGCCCTGATCGGTGCCCGTGGCTATACCGGACAGGCCCTGATCAGTCTCCTCAGTGCCCACCCATACATGGATCTAGCCCACGTCTCCTCCCGTGAGTTAGCAGGCAAGCCACTGCAGGGCTACAACAAGCGGGAAATCATCTACGAGAACCTCAGCCCAGATGACGTCAAGCGCATGGCTGAACAAGGTGACGTCGACTGCTGGGTCATGGCCATGCCGAACGGAGTCTGCAAACCGTTTGTGGACGCGGTTGATTCCGTCGACAAGGAGAAGGCCGTCATCGTCGACCTCAGCGCAGACTACAGGTTCGATGACTCCTGGACATACGGTCTGCCGGAGCTAGTAAATCGGTCTACGATAGCCAAGGCAACCCGCATTGCCAACCCTGGATGCTATGCCACAGCTGCACAGGTGGGCATTGCGCCGCTGGTGCCGTACTTGGGCGGTCAGCCTACTGTCTTCGGTGTATCGGGATACTCCGGTGCAGGCACCAAGCCCAGCCTGAAGAACGATGTGAATTACTTGACCAACAATATCGTTCCGTACAGCCTTACGGATCATATCCATGAGAGGGAAATTGGGTCTCAGCTTGGTGCTGAGGTTGCATTTATTCCTCACGTTGCGGTTTGGTTCCAGGGCATTCACGTATGTCAGCCCCTTAATCTACTTCCATGCTGCTTTTTTTCTGTCACTTGCTAACCATGTTATGTCCAGCACACTATTAACATCCCGCTGAAAGAGGCCATGGCCTCCCGTGACATCCGCAACTTATACCAGGACCGCTACGCAGGTGAGAAACTAGTAAAGGTCGTCGGTGAGGCGCCGCTGGTCAAAAACATCTCCGGCCGCCATGGGATTGAGGTCGGTGGTTTCGCAGTCCATTCGAGTGGGAAGCGAGTCATTGTCTGCGCTACCATCGACAACCTCCTCAAGGGTGCTGCAACTCAATGTCTACGTATGTTTATCCCTTAATCCCATATCTTACTTAAAGCATACGTCTAACCCGGCTATAGAAAACATGAACCTCGCGCTAGGATACTCGGAGTACGAAGGTATACCCCTGGATGGCAGCAGCTAGCCACCAACCACCATCTACCCCCGACAAAACCGTATATAGACACCATCCTGTCTTGTTGTAGTTGCAATTTCATTGCTGTTCCAGCTCCAGTTCCAGTTCCGCCATAGACTCTGTTTGTCTTTTTCCTTGCGTCTTGAGTATGTAGCGACTGTCTAAATACTGTTTTCTTCGAATGCATAACTGTTCTTGCTTCGTCTATCCGTTTGTATTGTTTAAGATAAGATGAAGATGACGCTCTTGCTTGCTAGTCTTTCTTGATTGTACTGATATAACTGCTGCCAATATATTCATGACTTCTATCTATTCGCTATCTCATGTCCATCTTTATATCTTCCTGTCGCCGGGAAGATTCTGCCCCCAGACCCCGTGACTCTCCGCCTTCCGCTCACTTGCCCTCACTTCCCGATTAGGACGACGCGACTCTCTTTTTCTTCTTCTTCCTGTCAACTTCTTCCTTCAAGAAAGTCGGCAATTTTCATCTCTGCTCTGTAGCAGACACAACTCTGTCCATGGCTATAGACAGCCTATAGACAACCTATTAATACTCCGAAGAGCCAGGAGAATCCCAATCTAGAGCATTATAAGACAGCCGTCATGTTCTACAGCCACGAAAGTAAGTGCTTCACTAGCATTAGTCGGTGAATCGCAGTGTAGAGACTGTTGAAATTGATCAATTGCTAACTCGGCCTCTACCATAGTCCTCACCTCGCGTGAGCATGGCGTTGCCACAGTGTGGTGAGTTAGCTATACATAGATCGGGCATAGAACATCAAAGGGTCCCCTTCTAATCAGGAATTGACAGGCTGGTAGCGACTCTCGGGGCAAAGTCAACTACACGGAAGGTGAACAGGAAGGCAATATTAGAAGTGGATGTGCCCAAGGCGTGTGATATGATTATTCGGCCGGATGCTCCTATGGCATTGAGACTACAGGGGAACCTTCTGTAAGTTTTCCTTACGTTGGACTGTTTATCTTGGGATATATAGCTAACTCGGTATAAACAGGTACGGGGTATCAAAAGTCTACCACCAGCAATGCGGGTATGCGCTTCTCGACGCCGAAGCCACGCGGGATAGAATGAAGGCCATGTTGAGGGTTATCAACAAGGCTGGGTTGGACCCTGACGCGGGAAAAGCCAGGTAAATATTTACTATCATTTCACACTCAGCATCGTAAGATAATGATTAACAATTGTAGACCTGATCAAATCATGCTCCCACATGATCCGGCTTTTATTCCTGAACTGATGTTGCCCGGGTTAAACGTTGATTTATCAGCTCTAGATATGGGATTGGAATGGGTATCACCGCGCAAATCCAGTCTGGTATCAAGCAACGTGCCCAAATCATCTGCTACCAACTGGTCACCAGCTGCGCAACTGCAGCTGAACCTCTTATCTTCGGATATCGGTGGCTTCCAGGTAGGGGAAGGCCTAGGATATATCAGTGACATGAGCAGTGCTAGAAAGGAGCCTCAAGTAGAGCTGCCACCCTACTTTGGAGACGAGGCCGGAATCTTGTTACAACCGGACTTTGAATTCGATGGTGAAGGTAACATCATCGAGCTGTCTCCGAAGAAAACTGCAGAGCCAAGGGAAAGTGAAGTCCAAGTGAGGGATGACCGCCTGAGCACTTTGAGAAATACTGGAGTCGACTTGTTCGTTGATGATCATCAAGTGAGTCAAATTTTAGCTTTCTTTGTGTTAACATTGTCCGGATTGCTAATTCTATGATATAGCCTGATGGGGATATTGTCATGGATGACATTGATGCTGCTCAGAGAGAAGGGATTGGGAGTCTGCTTGTATCTGACGGCACGCAGCCACGAGGGCAAGTGACTGATCCAGACTACTCCAATGTTCCCCAGGTATCCCCGGAGACCGGTGAAGTAAAGGTACCCTTTAGAAGGAGAAAACTTCCCAAGATTTTCGGTATAGATGAGCCCGCTGAGCTTCGAAACTCTGATCTGGCACAGTGGAATTCAGAGTACGCGGAGAACATGGCCGCTGCTGCCAGAGCCAAGATCCAGAACAGGCTTATCACCATTGCCAAAAAGAATGCGGCCTTCTGGGTTCTCGGCTCGGGAATTGGAGCTGTAGGTACCGGTTTGGGTGCTAGAGCAGTGCTACACCCACTTGCTGCGTTTTCCGGAGACCAGTTACTTGCCTCTTTGACCGGGGCTCCATGCAAAGAGAGACGACGTGGTAAAAGGAACCACGAGGGGAAGGATGAGGATGCTGATGCAGCTGTGGTTGGTAAGAAAGCTCGTACCAGGCAGGATGATGAGCCTGAACTTGGCTTAGACGGGGCTGTAGAAGTGGATGAAGGCCTCGGCCTTGTAATTGAGGTATGTACCTGGATCCAGAGACGACCAAGCTTCATGCACTGACATGTCGATCAATATATTAGGACATTGAGGTCGGCAGACAGGCTCCTTCGTCTCTTCGGGATGACGACCTATCCAACATGCCATGGAACATCACCGCATCTATCAGGAGCAAGAGCTCAGCATATTCTCGCCAGATCTTCGCGAGTGGAGGCGTGTTCTCGAGCATTGGCGGCCCGCGATCTGTGGTAAGTCCCGGGCCGGATGGACTGCCATCTGCCTCCAACGCAGCAGCCCTAGCAGCCTTTAGACGAGGACGCCTAAGAAGTCAGAGTCCACTCGCTGGTCGCGGTGGAATGACAGACATCCACCTGCCAAGTGACCAGGACATAGGCATAGACATGCTCAGTGGCATTGACGGTGGCGAAGGAGACGGGCAACCGGGGGAACAGCTCGATCACGATGAAAGGGGTAGTGTCCAAAGGCCCAAGTGGTTAAACAGTAGCAGCCTCGACCAGGAGACCATCAATTTCTACGAGTACCTGCAGACTCGCATTGAGGAGGAGGAGGAGGATGATGATGATGATAATGATCGGAAGGTCGGAGGATGCCATTCAGGGGTATCGTTCACCTCGCTTCTTCCCCCCAGATCGAGCTCCCGTATCGTCGCGACGCAGGCACTGCTGCACGTCCTGACCCTCGCAACGAACGGAGCACTTCGAGTCCAGCAAGACGTTGCCAGTAGACCAAGGAGTGTTCAAGATGCAGGGGACATCATCCTGATGCTTGGATGTTAAAACAGGCGGCTCTTCACATGCCGGCAACGCACGCGAGCGGAGTTCACGTCAACAATATGTCATATCTGACCATTCGATCTAACTGCATTTCCGTCTGTCTCTTCTTTATCTGACGTTATTTCTCATGCTATGTTGCATATATCTCCATGTATCGTTACCGTCCCTCTATCATTACTTATCAATCTCTCCATGCCTCCCCCGGCCTTGCACTGCCACCAGCCTTGGCAGAGACACCCAAGCCTGAAACAAACCTCTCTGGGCCTTGACTGAGCCTGCGCCGGCCGCTTGTTTGTTCTCCCTTTTTCCCAGCTGAACGCCGTCCAGGGCGAGCCAGAGACTTCCAACCACCAACCACCAACACCCGCAGCAGCCAGCAGCACCGACAGCACCGACAGGCAGCAACCAGCCCCCCTGGCGTCGACTGCCCGCGATAGAGCGTCTCATCGACCACAGCTAGACGGCCAGCCCGCGCCCTCCGCATCCTCTCCAGCCGAGCTTGGCACCATCGTCGTCAGCCCAGCAGAAAAAACGTTCGTCGCAGTTCCACCTCAGCACGCAGATCCACCACCGTCCAGGCGCCGCGCTCTCGCTCTCTCTCTGATATACCGCATCGCTGCACAAGGGGACTTCACTTCGAACAACACTCATACACCTCCCGCTGCAAGCTACCGCGCGAGACGACTTCGACAGCAAGCACGCTCCCTGCCTGTTCTTCGAGAGACACTCTGCTACCACGGGCCCTAGCCGTCTCCCAGCCGCTTGCTTGCTCTCTGCTGTCTCACACGTCGGACGAGCCCACCCCCGTCAAAATCTCTCGCTTTTGCCGCTCAGATGACCTGAATGACAGTATCTTGACCGCATGCTACGTTCGCTGACTGCTGGTTGAATCGACTTCGCTTCCTTGTTTATCGTCTCTCGTTTTGATCACCGTTGCCGTCCATACGTCATATTTTTCTCTGCATAACTTCTCTCTCGTTTATTTTACCTCCTTCACCTCTTTTCACCCATCACGACAATGCTCTCCTCTTATCGATCTCCGAGGTCATGGATATCTCTCCTGACGCCGTTGCTCGGGGCCCAGGTGGCCCTGGGATCGATCGACTTGAATCTAGATGACGAAAGTAAGGAAGCTTCTGCACCCCATCTTCCCCGGTTCATGCAAAATGTTGTACTAGCCGCTAACCGCACCTTTGCTGTGGGGGAATAGATTCCATCAAGAAAGCCACCAGCCAGATCGCTCATGGCATGGTATCCTACTACACCGGAAATCACACTGGAGATGTTCCAGGCAATCTGCCGGATCCCTACTACTGGTGGGAGGCCGGCGCGATGTTCGGAGCCCTTATAGACTATTGGTGGTATACTGGCGACGACTCCTACAACAAGATTACAATGCAGGCGATGCTTCACCAGGTCGGAACGGAAAAGAATTATGAGCCTCGCAACCAGAGCCGCAGTTTGGGTAACGACGACCAGGCCTTCTGGGCCATCAGTGCAATGAGTGCTGTCGAGAACAAGTTTCCCGATCCACCACCAGACCAGCCGCAGTGGCTGTACCTCGTGCAGGCTGTCTTTAACCGTCAGGCAGCCCGCTGGGACAACGAAACTTGCGGTGGAGGTCTACGATGGCAGATCTTCAGTCTCAACAATGGTTACCACTACAAAAACGCGATTTCTAACGGTGCTTTCTTCCACCTGGCTGCACGTTTGGCGAGATACACCAACGACGAAAGCTACTCCAAATGGGCCGACAAGGCATGGCGATGGATGACCGCTATCAAACTTATTAGCCCTACATTCCAGATTTTCGATGGAACGGATTCTGCCGACAACTGCTCTGGTATCAACCACATTCAATGGTCGTACAACAATGGCATCCTGCTTCTCGGCACTGCCCACATGTACAACCACGTAAGCTCTCCCCAATGGACACATATCCATCCACCATAATACATATTTTGGCATATGAATTACTAACACATTTTCACATGTAGACCAATAAGGACCCCGTATGGAAAGAGCGTCTGTTCGGCCTTATTAAGGGCTTCGAAGTCTTCTTTTCCCAGAAAGATCCCAAGGGCGTCATGATTGAAGTCGCTTGTGAAGCGCAAGGAAACTGCAACAATGACCAACGTTCGTTCAAGGCTTACATGGCCCGCTGGATGGCCGCAACCATGATTATTGCCCCCGACACCATCGAGAAGATTAACCCCCTGCTCAGGGAATCCGCAAAGGCAGCAGCCCTCCAGTGCAATGGCCCAGACAACGCCTGTGGTCTCTACTGGACTAAGGGAGCGGACTGGGGTACATCTAAGACCGGAGTCGGCGAACAAATGGCTGCGCTGGAAGTCATCCAATCTAACTTGTGGTACAAAAAGCAGGCCTCCGGTCCCGCAAACAGTAAGACGGGTACCAGTAAGGGTGATCCTAATGCCGGTAACGACCAGGGTAACAACCAAACGAAGCAGCCATCCGAAATCAATTCCGGAGACAGAGCAGGCGCCGGTATCCTGACCACTCTCATCCTCCTGGGAATTGCCGGAGGCGTCTGGTGGATGGTTTCGTAAACCAATCCCGCCCTCCGTTCCGTTCCTATATCCCCTTTTTTTTTCCACCTCCTTTTGTTTGCTCTCCGCCTTTCCTTTCTAGTTCACATATATGTATGCATTTTACCAGGTGGTCTAATGTTTCATCCCAGCCAACCCCAACCATTTGCTTTTCATCCTCGCCTCTTCTACTTTCTTCTGTTTCCCTACAACACAATACATATGCACGCAGTCGCACCACACTTGTAACCTTATTGCGTCTCCATTGTATTCCCTGTCCTTTTCTAGTTCATCAGATTCTTCCTTTCTCCCTTAACACCCGTTCCCTTCCCTTTCCTTCTGACTCGTTTCCTTTCCCCGTCATTGCTTTTTAAAGGAGAACCGGAGTGTAGAGGCGTGGCTGCGCGTCTTAGGCAATATTCATGACCTTGTTTCCCTTGCAGTTACTTCTTTGCTCCCTTGAAGATGCTTATTGCTCTGTTTCTTTTCTCCCCTTGTTTTTTCTTTGTCACTTACAATAAATAAGCCCTGGGCAGTCCGCTTGCAAATAGTAAATATTAGTTATTATAGTTATGCTTATGCTTCGGTTCCTGGTAATTTCTAGCAGTCCGACTCACTTTGATATCTCTTAATACTTATCATTGTATTGGCTTGTCTTTCTATATGTACATGAGCGGGAAAGTTCATCGCTAGTCAATAGAGAGGTAGAAGGTACAATGTCCTTCAGATAGATCAAACAGCCCTGCCAACGCCATCCCTGAATTCAATTCCAACTTTAACATATAGTACATTATATCCTTGCCAGTGGATGAATATCGTAGTCCCAACATCCTCACAGGCCGTTATCCTGAAGGTGGCAGTATAAACCGTATGAACCGTAGCTAGCTTTCTTCATACTCAATGCCTAACCTAGCATGTCACCGGCTGGTATAGAGTAATTAGATCGAGAATAACCCATATTATACCCTCGTGAAAATCATTCATTCTGAGTCCTGCTTTGGTTGTACGGGTTGCGTCTGTTGCTTCTTCTTGTCCTCTTCTGCCGTCTTGCTAGTATCCCACACTATCCAACGTGGCCACGTCAGCCATGATAACAAATAATACGGATCAATTGAGGTGTATGGTTAACAACGCACTGTTCCTACTCGAGCTCGTCCTTTCCTTAAGCTGCGTCATGAAGTGATCGAACTCCTGCTGTCGTCTTTCTCGGTTCTCCAAATTGCGTTTCTGTATCTCGGGGTTGAATCGCTATATTGGCGCATATATGAATCAGTGCTGCTCTCTAGATCTAGGTCAAGTAGGTATGCGCATACCTTGAACAATTCCTCGTCTGTAGGGCGCAAGTAGTCTACCATTGCTGGACCTCCGATAATGAGTACCGCGCCTCTGTATAATGTTGGTCAGCGGTTGTTGCCAGGTTGCAGGCAGTTGAACACTTACCCAACAAGCATCTTAGCCCATGACCGTGCTGACATGGTGCAGAACAATACCTCTATAAGGTGCAAGGTATCAAATAGTAGAGTGATTATCTTCGTCTCGAGGCATTAAACAGCTGCTTCTCTATCTTTGAGCTCTTCGTCGTTTTGCTGCAAGTCCAAGCTTATCCAGGCTGTCTGACGCTAATCCGTTTTGAGCTTAGCGCTTATTCGCAGCGCTCCAGTCTCTACTTTATCAAAGTCAGCATCAACACTAACAAACACTACTACAACAACAACGCCAGCATGAACAACACTGCAAAATTGATATCAAATAACACTGAAATTCGAAATGAACCTTATCTCACAGTCAAGCAGCCAAATACTTGAGTGCGAGGAGTACTTAAAGCTTCCATGCACTCTAACACCTATTTGACCACTACTCCTCCACTTATCCACCATTTATCTATATCCTTATACCACTTTCGTACTAGACAGGCCAGTGTTTTCAAGGCTGGTCTTGAACTTTTCACTTCTTTCTATTTACTGGAACTACGATGACTAATTGTCCGACAAACCATGTATCGGACCCTGGCTGAAATTCGGTCATTGCTCTAAGGGTGGAACCACAGCACAGTGTCGAAAAACCTCACGAAGAGACTCTAATGGTATCTTCAAGACAACTCATTCTAGCCTCCGGCTACTTCCGTGAACAATTCGATGGCCCATGGAAGCTGAAGCACCAGACGAATAGTCGTCATGTTTTCCAGCTTCCTCTGAAATGCACCAATTCAGAGGCATTCATGATCCTTATAAAGATACTCCACGGCCATTCAATGAATGTGCCTCGAAAAGTTACGCTTCGGACACTTACCGACATCGCCCTTCTAGTCGACACCTACAAATGTCTAGAAGCAGCGGAAAGTTTTGCGGACACCTGGATCTGCGCACTTAACAGCCGTCTTCCAAAGACTTATTCGGAAATTGCGCATATGTGGACCTACATTGCATACGTCTTTGAGAAGACGCACATTTTCCAGATGATGACGAAGCTTGCTGTGAAATCCAGCAAGCGACGCATAACCTCACACCTCCCCATTCCTCCGACAGTCTTCTGTAAGTACAGCTCGGATTGGCCGTTTCTACCAAGATCTAACAATTGGAGCAGTGAAGGTCGAGAAACAGAGAGAGGCGTTGATTCTAAGAGTCCTGGAATTTACCAACCGCACAGTTTCTAGGCTGGAACATGTAGCGACGTCGAACAACTGCGTGTCTGCAGCTATTATTCTAGGCACGTTGTCTGTACTCCTTGCAGATCTTCGTCTTCTGGGCCACAAAGCAAGCCAGAGTTTCCATTATGCCAGTTTCGCCACCATATCCAAGGCTCTCAATCAGCTGAATATTGAAAAAACACCTTCTATTCGGCACCGTACGGTGTGAGATAACCCATACTATAACTATACCCTGTGGATGACCTAGCTCACCCGGAACCTTAGAAAGCGATCAGCTCATGTCTCGAGGCCTTAGAGAGGGGGATAAAGGGGCTTCAACTGTGTGATGTCTACGAGAAGTAGTATGAATGGTTGTGCAACAGCAGTGTCAGACTTATTATGATGGATTCCAGTTAGATACTTCCGACTTGTACGATATTTATTTCAGGATTACCTGATGACGCCGTGGGACTCTAGGTATTGGTGTTGAAGTGTGATTTGGAGGTTGCATTAAGTTCCAGTACGATTACTAGAATGTTTTGAAATGGCCAATAAGTAATCAAGTGGTATTGTCATAAGTATTCATTATCAGATTATATTTAATCATGTAAAACAGAAGCGTTTATATACTAAAAGCCCAGTCGTTATTCTATAACGATTGCTTCATGCAGCAAGGCTCTTGGGAGCCTCGGTTGCTGGACCCTCGGGGGTAACATATGCCTAGCACAAGGTTAGCAAAGACAGTTGCGATTAGAATGCAATGAATAAACGGCAACGTACCTTGGTCATGCCACCATCGACGACGAAATCAGTGCCGTTAACAAAGCTGCTCTCGTCACTGGCCAAGAACAAAACGGCCTGAGCCTGCTCAACGGCCTCTCCGAATCGGCCAGTTGGGAAGTGAATCTCACGTCTGAGACGCTTTGGAGCATCATCACCAAGCCAGTCCTGGAGAAGAGGGGTGCTGTAATTCACATGTCAGTAAATATAATAACCCAGACGTTCAATGCACTGGCAACACTTACTTCAATGGGGCAGGGCACAGAGAGTTGAATCGGAATCCCTCGCGGGCATGCACAATCGCCAACTCTCTGGTCATGGCGAGCACAGCTCCCTTGCTCGCGGTATATGCAAGCTGTGGGGTAGCACTGCCAACAAGAGCAACGACACTAGCAGTGTTGATGATGCTTCCCTTGGCCTTCTTGTTCTTGCGAAGACTGGCAACGGCATGCTTGCATCCGAACCAGACACCCTTGACATTGATGTTTTGAGTCAAGTCCCAGATCTTCTCGGGGGTGTCAAGGGCGTCTGCGTCGTCTGCGTGCATGATACCGGCGTTGTTGAAGATGATATCCATACCACCCCAGGCGTCCAAATGGTCAATCATAGCCTTGACGTCGGCTTCTTTGGAAACATCACATTTTATCGTCTCGACTTTGGCGCCTTCTGGAACGACCTTCTTTACCTTTTCGAGGGCGGTTTTGAGGGCTGGCTCGGAGATATCTGCCATGAGAACGGAGGCGCCCTCGCGTGCGAAAAGGATAGTTGTCTCAAGGCCAATTCCACTATAATACGTTCCAGTTAGCTTCGTACCAAGAATAGAAGCTATGGGAAATCAGAATCTCACCCTGCAGCCCCGGTGATAATGGCATTCTTGCCCTGAAGACGTCCTCCGGCCATGGTGAATCTTGTGGGTTGAAGTGCGGGGAGTTGTTCTGCCGGTATACCAGTTGGAATCAAGCTGTAAGAAGGGAGAGATAAATTGATAATATTGCTTAAGGAGAAATACGGGGAGCACTGCAATACTTACTGTGTAATTTGTTATACTGAACTATCAAAGGGCAGCTTGTATACGTTGTTCAAGAGAAGACAAACGAGGGGCAGAACCAGACGAGATGAATCAGCCGAAACCGAGAAGCCGGACGCCGCAGAAGGCTCCACTCGGTGGAGCAACTTCATATAAGCTCCTGCTCTCCTTTGCAAGCATTTGACATTTGATATCTGAGTATTTGGACTGATGATGTTAATAATAGTGCAGTGGTTGTCGTTGACGGTCTAGAAAGAGTATGGGTTGCTATGTATTGATGTCTGCTTTCTAAGGTTGCTCCTGAGGGATTATAGATAGTAATGAGATCCAGGCAATGGAGGAGAACAGTGCTGGTTATAGAAGAATTATAATCCAGGTTCTCAAAGGCCTCAGTTAATAGTCCATCTGATAATGCTGTCCTACCCTCATCCCGGCGGCACCCTATACCTGGGCCGTGGATCAAGGGGCTTCACTGATGTTATAGTCGTAAGCATCCAATCAAGACCCGTAACTATCCACCCACGTAGCATTCTTAAAGCCCACACAACGGTAAAACAAGAACGAACAGCCACAAGCAACTGCTTGTCCCACCGTTTATCTCACTGTCTTGCCGACGTCGTCGACCTCGAAATCTTTCTCTTCGGCCCAAGTTTTATAGACCAGGAAGCGCTTATTAATAATAATGACTAATCAGGCACATGACGCGCGATAAGCCTCGGCGATAACGGCCGGAAGAAGCGACGACGGCGGGAAAAAAAGGGGGACGGCGACGAAGGCGATGAAGACGACGACGTCGAGCTGAGAAGAAGAAGAGACGGCGACCTGCTCTGTTATCCCTGGCCGTTGCAGCGGGTTCTTTGACACTGCTAGAGCTTCGCCGTTCTCGATTCTGCGCCCCGATTGATTTTTTTTTTCTTCTTTTTAAATCCTTGCTTTTGCTGTTCGCTGCATCCCCCCGGCCCTGCTGCACCGTCATAAAAGAGGGGAGACGATCTCCATCATGGCTGCAGAGACCGTGACCCTCGATATCCTCGAAGAAGTGCTCGAAGATGACGGCCAGGTCAAAGTCGCCGGCTTCGACGCCGACGGTATACTTCGCGGCAAACTCGTGTCGAAGCGGAAGTTCCTCTCTATCGCCCAGGATGGGTTTGGGTTCTGCTCCGTTATCTTCGGCTGGGACATGCACGACCAGACATACTTCAAGGAGCTGGGGATTAGCAACAAGGAGAACGGATATCGAGATCTGGTGGCTGTTCCGGACCTGAGCAGCTTCCGGAGGATACCGTGGGAGCGAAACGTGCCTTTCTTCCTGGTCAGCTTTCTTGATCCAGAGACCAAGAAGGCGATCTCAGCGTGTCCGCGCGGGCTGCTGAGGGCTGCTACCGCTGGATTGGAGGAGAAGGGCTACAAAGCCATGGCTGGAGGTATGATACGCACTACACCATGCATGAGATGTGACACCCTCCTGAGTGAGGGAGAAGGTAGTTTTGATTCTAATATGGCTTGAAAGTGGAATTTGAGTTCTATCAGTATAGAGCGCCGCCGACTGTTGACTCTGCAGAACGCAACTCGACGGGGACTGCCCGCTTTCTCCAATATAATCCGGTTAACGACCTGCAGCCGTTGACAGAGGGGATGTTTGGGTACAGCTTGACCCGAACCGTGCATAACCAGGAATACTTTTACCGGATATTCGACACCTGTCGCGAATTCGAGTGTGACATCGAAAGCTGGCATACGGAGAGTGGACCTGGCGTTTTTGAAGCTGTGTGTAGACCAATTTTTCAGTCTTCTTTAGTGAGATGGCACTAATGATGTAATAGGCACTGCAGTTTGGCGAAGTAAAGGACATGGCTGATCGGGGCGGTCTATTCAAGTACGTATTTAATTTGGCATAGAAAAGACCGGGAGAAAAAAAAAAAAATAAAATAAGGATTGCATGCTAACCGTAAATCAGATATGTGGTCAAATCCGTCGGCTCCAAGTTCGGTATAACGCCCGTCTTCATGGCCAAACCACGTCAAGGCCTCCCCGGCAACAGCGGCCACATGCATGTCTCCCTCGTCGACAAATCAGGAACCAACCTGTTCGTCCGCGAGTCTCCCGATCCCTCGCCGCCGTATCCTGACCTAGCCTACATCTCTGACATCGGACGACATTTCCTTGCTGGAATTCTGGCTGGCCTGCCCGATATAATGCCCATTCTCGCACCCACAATAAACTCGTACAAGCGACTGGTAGAAAATTTCTGGGCGCCGGTGACGGTTTCATGGGGTTTGGAGCATCGCGCTGCGTCTATCAGGGTGATCTCCCCGCCGACCTGCAGCGGGAAGGGAACGAGATTTGAAATCCGTGTCCCCGGCGCCGACGTCAACTCACACTATGTCCTCGCTGCAATTGTTGCACTGGGGTGGCGTGGTGTGGAGAAGAAGCTTGACATTCCTATCCCTCCACTGCCCAAGGGCGAGGATGTTGGCGGAACCGCAGACAAGGGCGAACGGCTGGCGAAGAACCTGAAGGAGGCCGTTGCTCGATTCACGGACAAGGAGAGCGTTGCTCGCGAGGCGCTTGGAGACGAGTTTGTAGATCATTTTGGTGGGACGAGAGAGCATGAGATCCGTCTCTGGGAAGAGGCTGTTACCGATTGGTATGTTCTGTTTATTGGTTTTCTGTTCTTGTTCGTTGCCTCTGGTGTCACGGTCAGATCTGGCTAACGATGTTTATTCTTCCGGTATTGCAGGGAGGTAAAACGATATATAGAAACCGTGTGAATCTGACAGCGTATATATACAGCGTATGTATGTATAGAGTAACTACAGAAGGTGTCTTTTTGGTTTTTACAACTACGGTGCTCTCACACGCCCATTATCGTAAACGATAGCAGCTCCTCCCGCTGCCACACCACCGCCACCTCTACACCTACAGAGCACCCTCTGCACCATCGTAATTTCGCCCCTCCCGCCAGGTACAACCCAGGTACCAGGCACGGAATACCAGAACAGACGTAAAAAAAAAAAGGCGGTAAACACCCACCCATGGGGCCTGGTACAGCGATCTCCCGAATACCGGCACTATGTATCGGCCGTTTCTTCCCCAGACTCTGGGATTTCCGGGTATACGTATTATCAGAGTATAAAGCCTGTTTTCGAACATGCATGCCATACTAAAAAAACACACGTATCGGTCCAGTTCCAGTAATTAAAAGCTGCAAAAGGGCCGGGGCGGTAACTAACGTCAGGATACACCTTGGGATCATACCCTTTTTACCGCCCGTACCAGCGGGAGCTAGCATTTAGGGGCGAGTTTGGGTATATAAAACCTTAAAAGCTTAAATTCTAACTGGTAGGCTAGTAAGTAATATTAAGGGGAGCAGAATAGGGGTATTTTTGCCATTTAGACGCAGGCGGTTACGGGGAAGTTGGAATTAAGATTAAGTTGGTGCCTTACGGTAAGAATAGAGCCATGGGTGGAGAGTGTTATTTGCTGTGTGTTTTTGGGGCGTTTCTAGGTATTATCGTTGTTGGTAACGGTGGTATGGAATCAGGAATGTGGCATTTTTGCATTATACGTTAGATAGAATCATGGAAAGACGGGATAGAACGGGTAAATAAGGGTCTTTGAGGAATAACAAGGTGCAATAAAGTGGTATCAAGAAGAGAAGAAAAGTGCATGTAAAAGAAGATAAGAGAGGAAAAGAAAAAAAAAAAAAAAAAGGCAAAGCAGAAAGCATTAGCGAGTTGGGAGGCAGAAGAGACAAGGCGCCAGGCAACTTTGAAGGTGGGCATAAGGTATAAGAACGTTTGATAGAAGAGAAACAAAAAAAGAAAACACCAAATTTCCCTGGCCATGATGTAAGTATAAACGATTTCCATACAAGCAGAAGCATTACTAAAGGGGTCATCCAAGCGTTGGTCGAAGGCTCTTTTTTGGGGAGCGATGCAGGGGTGGTCTAGTTGACGCGGAATGCATCGAGGATTACTGCAGACAAGTTAGAAAGCAACTTATTTAACAAGAATGAAGAGTAGGAGAAAACTACCTTCCGAGCCACGACGACAGCCGCTGCCAACCCACATGATGGTGTTGACAAAGGCGTACCGCTCGTCGCCTGTTTCCATGGAGATGTTGACGCGGTACTTGTAGGTGTTTGGGTTGATGGAGTCGGCGACGGTGGGATCGGCGACCTTTTCTAGCACTTCCTTGGCGCCGGTCATCCAGCCATTTGCCTTGACCATGATGAAAGCGGGTGGTTCGTCGGAGGTCTGCAGGAGGTAAGATGACTTCATGCTGGTAGCCAGCTCCTTGACCACCACCTGGGAGTCCTGACCGCCGGGCTAGACGACGTTAGTCTTGGATATACTTTAACGAGATCGAAAGAGGTGACTGACCAGGACGACTCCCTTGCCCCATCTGCCAGCCCACTGCCCGCCGACAAAGGTGACCCAGTCCCGCTGGCCCCAGATGCTGTGTCCCAGAGAGACGGAGGGATTCAGCTTGATGCTCATGCGGAAGTCCAGCTCGAGCGTGGGCGCGGGCAGCTGCAGAGAGCGAGCAATGTCTCCCTCGGGAAAAGTGTGCTGCAGGTTGTTTGCCGGGATAGAGTCCTTCATGACGTTGAGATATGTCGGGCACTCGAGCAGATGCTGGCGCTGGCGGCTGGTATTTTTGGCCCGCACCTGCTGACAGTATATGCATTGCACCGAGAGACACTACACATCTCCATCAGTATATTAACAGGATATCCATGGAGTGAAGAGACCTACCTTGTCCTCCTCCTTTGCGCGGAACTCGACAAAGGCAGCGTGGACGTCGTCGAGCGGCGGCGCAGGCAGGCTGGAGGTGCTCTGGCGGGCCTGCTTGGCCTTGGGGGTGCTGTGGGCGCGCGCAGGGGCGGCGGCGGGAGCAGCAGCGGACGGCGGAGCGGCCTGGGAGGGGAGCGAGGGACGGCCCGGCAGGCTAGCCATGTGCGTCTGCATCCCGCTGGCAGCAGCAGCAGCGGCCGCATGGGGGTTG